GGCAGTAGCACCTCATACTGTAAAACTAGATGACTCAGTTCCGAAACCACAAAAGAGCATTGATTCTCTTGAAATTCCAAGTGTGTTACTTACGAGTTCAAAATTGCAAGAAACTCAGGTGAAAGTTTTTTCTACCGACTACTCCTAATCACCTAGCTTGATAAAGTAGATCACAGCTTGTCAGGTCGCTTAGAATAATGATCGTATTGCAACTTGATTGACAGAATCCGATCATCATCCTGAACTAGACAAACATGAGATTGGTCACTACTCAGTAACCAATTAGCTTAAATGAAACTTCACAATTGGAAACCCCACCAGATGTAAAACAAGTGTTTAAGATATTAGAAAAGAATCAATCAACAGCTAAACTAGACAGGTCCATTCAAAGCAAAGAACATAACTAAAGAGAGCTCCTCATAGTTAATCTGTAGTGTAACATAGTGTCAAAATAACTTTTATGATGCAACTAGAGAACCAAAATTATATTATTTACCAGATTAGAAACATAATGCCACAGACCAACTAATGTTGCTTCTTCATTATCAACACGGTTAAGTATCACTGATACTTGATGTCTCATCGTGCACTTCATACTACTGGTACACGACATCTCCCTGGCTGTTATTTCTTCCTTTTATTAAACCCTATATGTGCAAAAATACACCTTTTCATCTAAACTGATATTTAATTCTTTTTTTACAATTACAAAGCTATTTGTGAACTAAGTATCCATCATGTTAAAATGCCTTTTAATCATTCTCGCAAAGTAGTTATAGTATAGTTAGCTAAAGTATAACACATTCATATAAATTTCATTTACGACCATAAATATTGATGATGATACTAGAAATTATATCATGGCTTCTTTCGTACATTTATGTGCTTATAAAAAGCTTACTAATTTAATGGATTCAAGATAAATAGTCCACTGTCCGAAGGTATAAGAAGTGGATTTCTGCAGTCCAAAGTTTATAGACTATTTATCCTGCTGCTGAATAGTGATAAAATGATACAAAAAACACCCTTACTCTTAGATTGTGGCTTATAAACTTTTACAACTGCATTTTCTACGAATGCACTGAGTGAAATCACTCTAAATATTCTCAGGGAAGTAGGAATTTTCATTTCTATGATAAGCAATATACGTAGAATACTAAAAGTACACTGTAAATCTGTCATTCTTTAAAACTCACTATTTCGAACAGTGTTTAACAATTTATGCGAAAGTTTTTTCTATCATAACCGCTACATATGAAATTAACCTTATTATACCTTCTAATCATTCGATTGCATTGAGATATTTCCTACGGAATGTGATACTTTTGGATATCAAGTTATGTTGTTTATTATATTATAACTTATTACTTATCATAAGGTTTATGATATTATAGTGAGTTGATATAAATATACACCGTCGCGGGATTACCAAGGTAAATGCCGATAAATCCAGAAATCAGAAATAAGACTGTTCTGGATGAAGAAGTATATTTGTCGCTGGCCTCTTAATATAGAAATAATATCAAGATCAGAATAAAGAAGCGGCTAACAACCACCGAGGAGAGAAGCGGAATGGGAATGACACGCCTGGAACGCGAGAGATAGTCTTTAGTACAGTTAAACAAAAGAAGCACAATATAACAGTTACTGTTAGAATTAAGTACAATAATAGATGTTTCCATTTCAGCAATTGTATTATCCTCGTAAAAGTATACCACTACAATATATTCCCACCAAATCAAATCATATCACTCGTAAGTATTGTAGACATGCCAATAATTTTACTGGTTTTTATGATTTGTAACTTGAAATGAAGAAAATTATTAGAATTAATGTTAACTAAAGCCCTACATGCCATTAATAAAGGAAAAGTGTCATCACACTACTCACGAGTAACATAAAGGTTCAAACTAAAATGCTTTGGAAAGGAGGTGAAGGATAAGGAATATTTTTGGCGGATTCTCCGTACTTCCGAAGAAACGGAGAAGTTTTAGAATGCTCACTAAACCTCACACGTGAGTCATTAACATCACTAAAGAAATGACCAGTTAATACCCTTCAACGGTAACAATACATCAAAATTTAATGAAATCATCGATAAATTACATTTATAAAGGTTCAAATTTCTACTGAATTTTACCGAGTCATTTTAAAATCATTAAAGATATTAATTGGTCGAGTGGAAAAATATAAAACTAGTAGTTCGAAACTATCCTAAATAAATAACTGAAAATCCGCTTAGAAAGCTGACTTGCATGATAAAAATAGATGGCATACAAGCTAAAGATTTTCTTATTCAACTGCAAAGCGACACTCAGTACAAGGACAGTAGCTTAATAAAAATCTGTAGTGCCTCCATATATATATATATATATATATTCCAGTCCGCTTGCATTTAATTTGATTAAGCCCTTTCGATTAATTCATTCGACCAAGCCATCTAATTTGATCTTAGCGATATTCAAGCCGCCATTAAAACCCTCAAACCCAATGGCAGCTGTGGTGCGGATGAGATACCGTCTATACTTTTAAAAATGGCAGAACCAAACATTCAGGTGCATTTGCTCAAAATTCTTCAATTATCACTACAGTCTGGTATATACCCCGAAACGTGGAAATTAACTCATATCTTCCCTGTACATAAATCTGGACTGAAGGACTTAAGCCAAGTCTACAGACCAATTAATATCAGCCCAGTTATATGACGTTTAATGGAGAAAGTGACAAGAGATCAACTATCTGATCACTTACTCACGGAGCCCTAACAACACGGATTCATAAAAACTAGGTCATGCTGTAGTGCTTCCACATATGTTCCAGTTCGCTTATATCTAACTTGGTTAAGCCCTTTCGATTAATTTATTTAACCAAGCCATTTGTATAGCAACAATTTATATGTACCATTCGTTCTTATTATTGTCTGGTTTGTATGAGCTCAAATGACATGTCCCACTTGTCATTTGATCTTGTCAATGATTCGTCGCTTTTATTCATGTGTGCCTATTTCGCTTATCGCATGTCTGTCTTATATTTGTTGACTATATATTCTTAGTCATGCACTATCTCTTTGAGTTGGCTCTTAGCCTTCTCCAACGCGCTTCGCTTATTCATTAGCTTCCTTCGGATTGTAATTCTAGGAGTTGGCTCATTAGCCCTCTCCAATTCACGTCGGTTCGTACGCTTTGTTCGCTGCTTTTCAACTTCGCTTTGTCGTGTGTCCAAAAATAAACGTATTCATTACTTCGAATTCATCTTCTGATTTATAACCGTCAGACGCTACTCTGTAACGATTGTCTAGACGAGCTAATTACGAAGCATAAGAACACGCAGTAAATTGGCCACCACAAATCATTCTACGTAAAACTCGTTACAGATATATATATATATATATATATATATATATATATATATAACTATTGTTACTCGTAAGTAGTGTAAGCTTTAAAAATATTACCACTACCAACCAGCGCAACTCATCTTAAACATGTCACAGAATACCAGTATTAAGTTATATTCTAATCTAATAAAGCCCATACACAGTTCCTGAGTAAGATTGAATTTTTATCGGAGAATATGTTAGGATTTACAGTTGATTGAGAGTGCTACATAAACAGAAAAAACTCTTGGTATCCTGGAGCGAGGAATGATAACTACCATTTCATTTACAAGTGAAGTACGGACAACATCTGAGGTAGAACAATTTACATTAGTTTCTAGTTTATGGTTTCCTATCAGTTGCTTATAACTATGTATTCGTATTAAAATAGAACACAATATAAAATAATAAATAATGATGATACAATCGAAATGATGAGGATTATTAGTAATTCATAAATATGTGAGCAAACTTGTGTAAGGTCATTAGAAAACAGAAAGAATAAGGAGAGTAAATAAACAGTTATATACAATCAGAAAGTCGATAAGACACAAGTTACTTGTAGATTTAAGCAGTTTGCATAATTTTAAGAACTGGGTGAGTGAAAGTCATGAATAAGTGAGATAATTTCAAAGAGTGCAATAATGATTAGCTAGGCAAAAATTGGATAACGAAATCGAAACAATAATAATGGATGACTTAATCAAAATTGTGAATTTACCGTGATATCTCTTACTGAATTCAAAAATTTGGTTTGAGTTTTTTAGTAGCAAAATGTAAAAGAGTTTGACTTTCGCTAGTTATTTTGAAGAATATGCCTGTTATCGCTTGAATATCGGGCTATCAGATGAGTTAGGGCTATCAAGTTTAATTTCCAGTGTTTTCGGGAAATCTTCAGAAATATGAACATGTACCATTCTTCTCTGTTCATTCAATATCAGTTTTTGGCACACAGATGTGGACTAGTAAATACAGTTAGAAGCGATGAGAAAAGATTTGCCGATTTGTCTTTCCATGAATTTATTCTGTAACTAACTAATCTGATAGTTTCATTTCTTATGAAGTCAAGATGTCGGAAGCAAGCTTACAGAGGGCTTCAACGGTATATGCGTTAGCTATTCAAAAGCAGACTCCCGCATTCGCAAATGTCATAGCAACCTAGTCACTTAGTTCGTAGACCAGTTACATTGGAGACGTGAGCAGTGTGTTTAGGACTGTTGAATAACAGTTACTAAATTTGCTTCATAGTGTATTAAATTAATCAATTAAGCTTAGTTGGACTACGATGATTGGAACGTTCATCATCTTGAACCTGACTGGAACATAGTACAGTATAGTGTGTAAGCGAAACAACTTATTGTAGTGTTCTTACCACAGGCAACATACTGAAGACTTAATAATTTTAAAACTGGTAACTTAAGCAATAGAAAGTCTCGGACATTACAGAATGAATTGATGATACCTAAATATCTATTAATCACTTATACATTTTACAAAGTGAAAACCTGTTTTCGTACACATAACATCATAGCTCATCTAATAACTGTATAGTTATTAAATTATAAACCTGAGAGGCTCATTATTACGTCAACTATAAATTACAGTACCACTATCGAACAAAATACACTCTTTATTGAGTAGAAATCTTGGTGCAATACTCTTTTCAGAAAAAACAATACAACGGGAAATCTTATATGACATCAGTTAGGATTGTTTTCTAAGTGATGAGGCGAAACGATCAAGTTTATGTACAATATCTTGGTAGTTTTTCAACAAGGTAGATACTTCTTCATGAAGTTGACTTTCAAAATATTCATCCGCAGCTTCGTCAAATGCTTTTTTCAATGGATTATAAGAAGAAGAAGAAGAACCAACTGGTTTAGACATCAAAGAAGACCCTCGCATAGCATCTGGTCGGACTCGCTAAATTAATAAAAAGAAACATGAATAATAATGAATGAGGAACTGTGATACATAATTAGCAACTACTTCGTAATAATAATGATAACAGTAATGCTCATTTGACGAAAAAGCTGCAAAATTGTAATAATGAAGCAAGTAAATGTAAACAACACGATGCGAAATGGTATGCAATTCAATTTTTAGTGGTTTATAGTTTCAATAAAACCAGCAAAAGAAGCTACAGAATGTTAAGTTTCAACTCAAATAAGTATAAAATTACTAAACAAACTTTGTGATCCGTTTGTACTTTAATTTCACGATACAATTGTCTGTAATATCAAAACTTTCATTTAAAAATTTGCTTCGAAAAAATACCTGGTAGGTTGTAAATCAAATTAATAGGTGAATACTGAGGCACGCTTTAGAATCAAAAAGGAAATATTTTCACCGAATGGGACTCCTAGTAAATCTAATGCCTTGAAAATATTGTCACGGTAGCTACAATGTTCGTACTTGCTTGAGAAAGAAGCCATACGATATAACAAAACAATTTCATCATTAACTACTCGATTTTCCGACGAAAGGGTAAACAAACTCTAAATTGATGTTTATTTTTATTAGCTAAACAGCCGCCTGATTGAGTTATCTGTTTCATAACATCAAAATAATTCAACGAGTTACCTCTTTTATGTTACCTCAATTATGTCTAATAACCGTATAATCTATCCAGGCGTGTACATAAAAAGTTTGCAAGCTATCGCTTCACAGGATGAACGTTAATCATATGTCGATTTATGAGCTGCTGATTTCCAACTGCCAATCACTAATCGCTTTGTAAACGAAACTTGTTGAAATATTTCGTACTGAGTATTTCATACTGTACCAAACATATACTACTGAGTAAAGCCATTTTTATTATTAATATTATTGTTGTTATTATTAAATAAAGTTAATATATAGAACTTTGCGGTAATAGATAATGCAAACAGTATTATTGTTTTTGTTGAGAAAAAAGTGACTAGGAAATTATTTGGTATTCCAGTGTACCATGTTTGTTTCATCATGAATACATTGGACAACCATTATCAACGCTAGGTTTACTTGGGGGAATTAATTTCAAAGCACAATATACCTGAAAGTATGCAGTGGCACGCTTAGTTAATGCGTCAGAAAACGATTTCACATATTCATCAGTACGAGGTAACAAATACAATCGAAGAATTTCATACACTCGTCGACTTTGACAACGATTTAGTTTTAACTTTGTCCTAGAAATTTCTCGGAAATGTATTGCAGAAGATTTTTCGTTGATAGTATGTCCATTCACACCATTAGAGTGTGTTAAAGTTTGCATCACTTCTGGAGTTTCCAGGCAGCGTTTGCAATCCAATAAATCTCTAATACGTTGGAAATCAGGTGATGGGTCCTCAACTATAACAGAGTGAAAAGTTTGTACATTTCATTAAAAATAAAAACAACCCACTGTTAAATGTGAAAGTAACTTTTAAATACACAAAATTAGTTTTAAATATAATTTCTCTATTTAGTTGAATGACATTTTGTTTTTATTATCAGACAAATAGTTCAACAACAAATTAAAAAACTACAGTTAAAAATGTTAATACTATGTTGTAACAATGAAAATGACCAAGGACTAATCAAACTGAAGATTCAGAGTCAGGTTAGTCATACGTCCGATGAAAAGTTGAACCATTTGGTGACTATACTAAATCAACAATAATTTATCGTCTCTTCTGCGTCAAGATGTTCCACAGATATATTTTCAGTTATTTTAAATAGCTTGCGTTCTTTGCTGTACGACAAATCCCATATAATTCAATCTACGTAACTAATTAGTTTGTACTTTATTCTGAACGGTACTTTTTTGTATGAAGGGAATCTACTGGTGAAAATCTGGGTGCTGTGAACACTAAACCATAGACGAGCTTGTAAGCTTTGCTGGTCAGACAATGGTGAGTTGACCTCCCAACAATTGTATTTACTTTCGATATATAGTATTTCAACTCGTTTTTTAAACTTTTAACAGGGTTTTTTAAAATAACCAAAAATTTTTTTAAAATTTTCACAGCGTTTTTTAAAATTTTTTGTAATCCTTAGAATGTCAGAAATAAATAGAAAAAACAACTTGATTTCGAATGAAAAAAGAAAAAGCCTTATAAAAAAAGTTATTGAAGATGGATACAGCGTCAAGGATGCGGCATTTCTTACAGATGTAAACTATCAGGCCGCTACAAAAATTATAAGGTTGTATAAAAAGGAATCGCGAGTTGAGAAGAAAAAAACAGGAAAACCATCAAATAAGAAGATATGCGGTGATATTATCAATTTTGTTGAAGAAGTGATAGAATTAAAGATTTTAATTAAAAATAGTTCTGATTTTATTTTTTAAAAAAAATTTTAAAAAACGCTGTGAAAATTTTAAAAAATTTTTTGGTTATTTTAAAAAGCCCTGTTAAAAGTTTAAAAAACGAGTTGAAATACTATATATTGTTAAGTTAAATAAGAGTTGTTATTGTGAATAAGATGAATTAATACTTGTTATCTTCATTGCAGTTACAAATCAGAGGATAATAGTTATATAAACGGACAAATGTACTAAAATGGATATAATTTAAGTACCTAATCTTCTATACTATTACTGACACTCTTTCTACTTCTACCATTCTGGAATTGGCCCCTATATAATCCTGCTGTGCTAGGTTAACATAGCAACTTTTGTCAGATTCTACGTTGCGTGTAGCTGACCAAATTGAAATACATGAATCCAATAGTGTCGACGAATGGGTCGATTATGTAAATGTATAAATAGTGATTATTACATGCAACATAACGATCTAAATTTACATACACTTTGTTGATAATTCTGAATAATTTACCGCACATTGCTTTTTTAGGATTAATTACGATATTGTTTTTACAAATAATAATCCCACCTGCTATATCAATGACATTCGACATTGGCACAAAATCACGATAAAAAGTTTGCAAAAGTTGTGTAGCATGTCCATTGTTTCTATAAGGTGGAAGAATCAGGACCTGGCTAACACGTGGTCGAAGATTTTTGGGATAAGCATAAAACTTATAAACTGTCATGTAACCAATAAATCCATATTTGGATTTTCCGTCATCTGTTTGACCAATATTTTCATAACTAGAAAGGTAGTTTTTAAAAAAACAATAATAAAATTGATACCTTACATCATATAATAACACCATTGAATATCGTCTGTAGATATAGCAGATGCACCATCTATAAAGAAAAGAAGGAAAGATTCCATCCGTTTATGATATTCAAGGAATTGTTCAAATCCAGGCATTCCATGTTCGATGAAAAAAACAGAAAATTTCTTTGGATGTTTATCTACAAAAGAATAAATAGTTATTATGAAAATACCTTTCATAATTTGATAACTATATCTGTTAACTCCATATGGGGTAAAAGTAAACGTTTCATCAAAGTTTTTTAGAAAATTATTCCGGTTTTTACTGATGTCATATGGATAAACATCAGATAATATGTGCAGAATATCGTCAGGCTAAAATATAAGAAATAAGAGCAAATTAATTAATGTACCGAAAACACTTACCATTACACCTTTGGAAAGTTGAGGGTCAACTTTTGATGTATAGGAAATATCAATACATGTTGACAGGGTGTCTGCTGCATAAAAAATATCAACTTTGAGATCACGATATCCGAATATTTGTTCACTAAATAAATACTAATTAGCAACACTGAAAATTAATAAACCTTTCACCGAAGATTTGGTGAGTGAACTCAGGATTAAATGTATCCGCCGAATCGATAGCTCCCTTGTCCCTAACTTTATATACGATTAAAAGCGTTATCCAACAAACTTAGTTTGAACTGGATTGCATCACAAGCATTTACACGATAGTCATCAAGACTTCTGGTATTTAAACTGTTCATCATAGTGATACTGTAGGTTACTAAAAAAGATAACAATAGATTTGATTTTTTTTAAATTAAAGATAAAAATGAGCAATTAAACCTGAAGAGATTTTGATGAATTGTAATTTGATGAAACCATAAATTATTAAACATTATATAATATGCTGTGAAGTGGTTGAATTCATTCAATTATTTATTTTCTAATTCATGCTTTTGGAATAATTTAAGTAAGCGAATTTTTGTGGCTATCATAATGTTAAAGATGTTTATCAGGAATAATAGATGTTTTAGATTCTCACACATTATGTTTACCTATCCTCGTCCAATCACTGAAAATTCTACTCAAACTACAAATAAATAAAATATTTGATAGACATTCGGCTGAGCTTGATAGTATAAAACTCGAGTGATTATTGGACTCCGACTTTTTAACCTGCTTAATTAATTTATATCAGACCGAAATCTGCACAAGTATTCAAAGGCCATTAACAGCACATAATTTACACATTACAGTCAGCTTGTATTGAAGGTTAAGAGGAAAGCTCAATATTAAAGAGGCGAAATTAAACAGCTCCTGAGGACTGCAAAGGATAGTATTACATGATGTGATTTGTTCAGTTTTTCATTAGGGGGTCAAATGATCTATGGGCAATCAGGCTAAGTTTCTGATATTAATCAGTTAAAAGTAATTCGAAAAAATATGGTTTAACAACGAAGAAAAGGACATATACACTGCTACAGAGTTAGAAATAGAATTTTGGGATCTAAGTTAATTTTAATTCCATACCAATGTACTGACATAATTGATAATCAGTCGGTTGCAACGTAGAACTTGGTACGTATGTACATCAATTCAAGCTGCCATGGCCAATTAGCAGAGAGCGATGAAACTGCTAGACTGAATCCCAACTAGTGGATATAGCAACAGTACTAGTGGTAATCAAAAAGACTAAGGATCAAAGATTTGAGGAAATGAAAATAATAGAAAAATATGGATTCAGAAACTTAGAATTTGGAGGACGAATAGTGGAAGCACTTGCGCAATCGCAAACGATTTTGAGCCAGGTCATTGGAAATCTAACCACTAGTGTCGATCATCAGGCAGATCTTGACCTGCAGCAGCTACCAGTACATGCATGCTTCATTATTTCTTAATATTTATGGACAGTTAACTGACCGTTTTAACTGGCTTGAGAAACACCAAAATATGTCAGGGTTGTGATGCTGTAATGGTAATATTTGGAAGTCATTTGAAAGCCAGTAAGGCTTTCAACTGAAATTTACGGGACAAGTGTTTGAGATTGACATGAGCTGTATCTATTGAATAAAAAAATTTGCTACGATGTCGGAAAAGCTTAGTGGCTAGTACTATGAGAACTGCGTATCTCACCAGAATTAAATGGGGTCTACTATAGTCGATAATCAAAGTGCGAATATCAAAAAAGTTGTTACACGACAAAGGAGCACGGGTAAAAGTGGTTATGGGATATATAAATGTGGTATGATTCGTACTGACCCCTAATAAACCGAATACCCTTTAATAGATAAACCAGGACATAGTCGGTGCAGTCGCAAAATAACAGCGAGAGAACAGTGACTAGGTTTTATGGTTTCATCAAGTAAGCATTAGACCTTAGTTTAGCATACAGAAAACCTTGAACCTGACAAAAAGGTCAAATGACCCAATGTTTAAAATGAAGTGCAGTTATCTCTGTGAATTCAAAACAGATCAAGGTTCTGAAGAATAAATAAACGATGAGATAAAAGAATTCTGATGAAACGAATGATCAGGCGAGTTGTAAAATTACGGTGCAACGCACCAACTTGTTGTGATAGAGCGGTAGAAGGAATAAATAAGACGATATCGTGGAAAGATTAAACGAACTAATTATCGAAATAGGGAGATACAGAAGTCCGAAAGAAATGCATGGATGTTTTTTACGTGTCGAATAAAGGTGAATCAACTTGACTGCTTATAAAATCACAGTTTGATTCAAACCGTTAAAACTATCCGGTTAAGATAATATGTGCGATAAGTAACATGAATATATATAGTTATTCACCGAATCGCTCCCCTAAGTGACCTTAAAGACGTGATATTTTTCGAGCCAGAGAAGATTTCGAGATCTGAAGTTACATTTCTTCTAAGTTGACTAGTAGGCCTTCCGAAAAAACGGGAGACTAGACAAATATGATACATATGACATCACATTTACTATAATACGAACTGTACATGGTGGAAAATTTAGAAGTAACACTTGGATACCAATATTTGGTAGACTCATTAACATACTATATCAAGCAACTTAATTACCCAGACACTAAGACGCTTAAGCCGACCTTAGCTTAAACATTCGAATTTGTACACCAAGGTCAAACATGCGTATCCAAACCAAGTACTAATATCCAATATCCAATATATTTTTCACGGGCTAGTATAAACCAGTTGATTTTTTTGTGCTCCATTCTTGTTCTTTCGGTATTTCGTTCAAAGGACGGGTGTCTAGCCAATCGACTGTCTAATTCTAGTCAGTTGGCATTTGTTTGGAGTTTGTACGTCCCGTAATTTGAATGAGTACATTTGTTTCAGGTTATCAGACAGGGTATAAGTTTGTTGCAATATGGAGAATAGCGAGAAAAGTCTAATCCTAGTCAGAAGATTTCATAAGTAAGTAAACAAGTGGATAATAAAGTCTGTTAATTGTTAGTAAAGATTGCGCTAGAGGACCAAAGTGCAATCAAGATAAACGACATAGAGGTAATACGAGAGGTAGGTTAAGTCAGTGATCTGTGGAGATCTCAATGATAACAGCGAGCAAGTATTGAGGCATGTATCTAGCTGATTGAATAGGGAGATGATGATCCGTATGCGGCTTCCAGCGGTCGATATAGTTAGTCGCAATTTACGAAAACGTGTGTACCAAATAATTAGAGGGGGTGGACGGAAAGGTCATTAGCTTGAGATCGATATTCTTCATTCCTGACTTCTGATCTGACTAGTTTTTGGGTTTCTCAATGTGAAAGGTGTTAGGAACAAAATCGTTTTCAAACTATGAATATCCTTCACATTTTCAAGTAAAACTATGCTCGTAGCGATTCATTAGTGTAGTCTAAAATGTGTAGTTTTGTAGATCCTCCTTGCCCCGGTTTGAATTCTAACCGGATCCTCTTTTAGAATGCTTGGCTGAGATGTAACTTATTTCTGTCGTTAGGGAATGAATTACAGTCCAAATGATGCTCACCGTTTCGTCAGTTTAGATGGAGGGAACTCATGGAATACAATATGGAGTTTATTAATTTGGAAGAAATAAAATCCATGTTTTGAATACGTTTTCTCATTGAGTATTCAACTTTCAAATTTTATTGCTGCTACCGTCTTGTGAGTACGTATACTCATAAGCGAAGTAAGACCAAACGATTTGGTTCTTATATTATGTGAAAAGGAAGATAAATGCGACGAGGAATTCAGAAGGTTAAGATTGAAGAAAAGTCAAATAATAGATTCATCTGCGCCACTGCAAACGATTTTGATCCATGCCGTTCAATGTCTTTAACCATCGGTTGTGATTGTCTCGCTATTCCCAAACAAATAGTCTACACCTACTAATAGCCAGTTACTTCATAGATTTGTAGCATGTATGGGTTTTTCGCCCATTTTCCTTAACCTACCACTGCTCATTTGATGGTCCTAAGATTAACGAACAATAATTTGAAGATCAATTACTAGTAACCTGTGAATATTATCTACTCTTAGTGGATGTGTTTCACATTAGCGAAGTAGGATGGGACGAATTGGTGCTCAGTAAATCGGAACAATATCAGAGTCTAGTAGTTTCTCGAAATTCTGAAAAGCCTTCTGATAGTTTGTCGACCAATTTCATCTTAGCTGATTTGATTGATCACATAAGCGTTAAAGGTTAGGAAGAAAAGCTCCGCAGTGGTTAACTAGATCCAAAAGATCGTAATGTGTGAACATCCGTCGGTCTTAGCACGCCATTTACTGCTTCAATATTCCCCAGGTTTGATTGCAAGCCATCTTTCTCTATCATAAATACGCCGTACTATACATTTCTAATGCGAAAGCCACATTTTTCTGAATAGAACAGGAGAATGTATTCCGCTATTTGTGGAAGCACTGACCATTGCTTCTTTTATGAGTTCATCCTATCCACTCTCGTGATTACGATAACAACTAGATAGGCTGCAGCGCTAGATATTACTTGCAATATTGTGTCAATTATCCGCAGGAGTATGGAGGAGACGGTTTTGACTCCAACTTTGACTCTACTTTTCTGAAGTCATTCTAATTCCTGTTCCACTATTGAGAAAATCACATAGAGCGCACAACTTTTGGGTCTAAATGCTGTATTCGCTTGGCGTCAAAAGGTGAGCGTAGCTCCCTACTTAATCTATTCTCCCAGACCATCACTAAATAATGTTTCATATGGTTGTAGCAACGCTTCGATCAGGCTTATGTCTTCCACTCCTATAACCTCATAACTGTTTTGAATCAAGTTGATGGGGTAATCGATCAGCCTCTAATTCTCTGTCCAGCTAGGTCTCAGCATATCAAGAGGTGGATGTTCTTTTAGAAATTATACTCCTTTCTTGGTTATTTTCTTGACTGTGACTTATCATTGTTTCTCTTTACCAATCTCTGACATTCCATCAAACATATCGTGGGCTGGTTATTCTCCTCAAATTTTTTCTTTATATTTTCTACCTTGTTCTTTTACTTATAAACATCATACACGTAAACGGGTCCAGCTGTGAGAGTGATAACGATTAATCTTAAGAAAAACACACTTTTTACTATACAATAATAAAGGCACATCAATTGACAGGATCCTTCGATCTAGCTTATGAATCAGTCTGCACTACGGCTAGGTTGATTAAACGTTTGGATCTGAGAGTTGAAAATCTAACGCTGATGAACTTCATTTCGAAAAAATATTCATAGTATTGTAAATGACTGTCAACTCTGGTAATCTGGAACGTAAGAACGGTACTCAAAAATTAAGAGAATATTTATCAAAATTGCACACGTATATATGCCACATAACTCCACTTGGAGTCCCTCTGTGGTTACTGCCGGTTATAGATTTAACCTCGAAAATGTTCCACACTCTATTCAAGAAGACTTGGAAGGAGGAACAAGTACTAACAGAGTGCAGAGAAGGACACCTGATCAAAAGGAAGGAGACCTTGACAAGTGCGGAGGCGTCACTCTATTATAATTACCACGAAAGGTCTTCAACACAGAGTTGTGGAACTGAACGAAAGATTCCACAGACGTTCAACTCCGAGATCAGCAGGGCAGATTTTATGAGGATCGACCATGTACCGACCAATTAAATGAATGGAATTCATCACATCGTCTTCATTGACTACAATAAAGCATTCGACACTATGGTGTACCTGAAAAGTTAATCAACGTCATACATAATTATTACGATAGATTTTACTTAAAAATAGTGTATGAACAGCCCCTCATAGACTCGTTCCAAGCAGATGCGGGTGTCAGAATAGGCCTCTTACTCTCATCCTTTCTCTTCCTTCTAGTGGTTGACTGCATCATGAAGACCTCAACATCTCAGGAGAAGTAAAGGTTACGGCGGATAGCACGAATGTTGCTGGATGTTTAGGACTTCGTTGATGTCCTAACTTTCCAATACCACACGTCGCAATAAAAGTAGATGAAAACGTCCAGCAATAGCCGCTGTAGAAGTAGGTATCAACAGACACAATGGTAGTGTAGTGCCTCCACATATGCTCCAGTTCGCTTACATCTAACTTGGTTAAGCCCATTCGATTAATTTATTTAACCAAGCCATTTGCGTAGCAACAACTGATATGTCAGTCAGTCAGATGCAACATAGAACTTCGTACGTAAGTACATCAGTTCATGTTGCCACACCACATCAGCACAGAGATGTAATTGTCAATTCAAATCCAATAGTAGGAGAGGTAGTAAAGGTATTAGAAGTAATCGGAGAGGTTAGGATTAGAAGATATTATTCAAGATGTTTGATTCAGTGAGAAAAGTTTAGAAAGTCAAAACTAGAGGTGTCGAAGGATCCATTCGTTCTTATTCATGTCTGGTTTGTATGAGCTCATGTGACTTGTCCCAAGTGCCATTTGAATTTGTCAACCTTTCGTCGCTTTCATTCATGTGTGTGCATGCCTATCTCGTTGATCACATGTCTGTCTTGTATTTGTCTGACTATATATTCTTAGTCAAGCTCTATCTCTTGGAGTTGACTCGACAGCCTCCTCCGATTCACGTCGATTCATTCGTTTGATTCACTGCTTCTCCGCTTCGCTTTTTGGTGTGTCCCAAATAAACGTATTCGACACTACGAGTTCACCTTCTGATTTATAAACCATCAGACGATAGTCAGTAACAACTGTCTGGACGAGCTAATTACCGAGCTTAAGAAAACGCAGTAAACTCGACACACTACTGTAGAAGCAAATTCTATGAGCTTACTGAGTCATCGTCCCATATTTTTTAATGTTCTTCGTTCTTCCAGATAACCTCACACGCCCCCCTAGCGCTCAAGGTACTCCCTGGCTAGATACAAACTAAACAAAGGCTGAAGTTACGTTCGGTGTGCCTTCGGGAGCAAGGGAAGCCTTCCCCCCTAAGGAAAAAACACCTGTGCTTAACGGAGCTAAAAATAGTCTGTGAGGCTGATGAGTTACTTCAAGTAGAATGATCACTGTGTTGAGTCGCATGAAGTAGGAGAGTTGCTGTGTGAAGCGTCTGTCTTTATCATTATAAGATTCTCCGATACAGTACAATACGCATCAAGTCAAAAATGATAGAGAGGCTTCTTGGAGAATTCTGTTCACTGGCCTATGCTTCACTAGGTGTAACAAGCGTATGTAAGTAAGCAAGCAACTGAGTAATTATATATGTATGTATGCTAAGTGGTTACTGCATTACTATGCATTTAATGTTTATACATTTTATTAAATACTTTCAATTCTGGACTTGAACATTTTCATCTTGTCCTCATGACGGATTCGCCGTTGTGAAAACAGAAAACGTGTGTGCATTTGTAAATCCGGATATCATCAAATATGAAAATCATTTGGCTGCGGCCTGAAACAAATTTCAACATATGGAAGACTCTGCGACGATAAGTAGACAGTTGGTTAGTACTACGTGATCGTTTAGTACTGCTTTAAGCTTATTACTCTAGAAGACAAGATATATCAGTTTCTAAATTATCTACACCATGAGATATCTCCCGTATAACCATACACTTTGACAACCGTCAACACAAATTCAACTGGAGAAATGTTGAAACTTAGGATAGAGGGACTAATAATCATACCAGGAAATTTTCATAAGCTTGGCACTTAAGTTAACTAGCAATTTGTAAACAAATCAAAATCATGGAAAAATCCGGGACCGAGACTCAGGTGATGGAGAATGCAATAAATAACTAAGTAGATCGTACAAGTTAAAGAATAATAATTACTAATAGAAATCGAAGTCAGCAGGACAGGATAAATTCAAATACTTCATGTTTATCTGGTGCTTGGATTGATTATATTGTTCAGAAGAACAGGATAGCCCAAAGAACGGAATTACACCAAAATCATCCTCTGATGTGTAAACTTCGTTTACCATCTCAAACTCATATAAGCATATCTTGATTATGTGTACATAGTCGTAGACACTTTCTTGATGGCTGCGTTTATGATGTAAGGTCCGAAGCCCCTATATCAAAATTTCGTTATTTCCTGCGAATCCCTCAATATTAGGGCTTTATGAATATTTTTCACCAGTGATATCAAGAGCGATATCTATAGATGTTAGTCATCTAATTTTATTTTAATATTGTCCGACATCCTTTATTTCCTGACTTCTGAAACAAACGTATTAATTCAAATCACGGGACATACAAACTCACAAACAAATGCCAAATAACTAGAATAAGGCAGTCGAGTGGCTAAACATCCATCATTTAGACACTACCAAATACCTGAAACCGTACCAAAAGAACAAGAATTGAGCACAAAAAAATCGATTGGTTTATACTAGATCGTGAAAAAGATATTGGATGGGTCACAATGAACATTACACCCTTATATATTTCAGAATCATATATTACCATGTTGACTGGATTCTTGAGAACTAGAGGATCCTTATTTATGCACTAAGTTTCAGGCAACATGCTTTTGTTTTAGTCATTCATTCGAATACAAATGATAATTATTCAGCCTTGTAAATTATGTGATGAGTTTCAGAGGTTGTCTGAAGGGCGTACTTATTTTACGTATTTAGTATCTGCTGTCTTAATTAACAGTCCGACGCTATTATAACTTAATTCGTATTTGTATCACCCAAGAGCGCTTTTGTTGTTGATTTCAAAGTGCATGTATATGTGGGAAATTTTCAGGAAAAGTCTCACTGTTTCTTACGGACTAGGGAAAAAGGATACAATTTGATGTATTATCGATTTAACTTCCAATGATTTTACTGAGCGGTTTTCCACAACATTTCCTCAAAGTTCGCATTTACTTCCTGTTTTCAATTTTTGTCGGATTATATTGTGCATTGACAAGTCCAGGGAATAGAATTTAACAATGAAAGTACTTTAGGCAGATACAACGATGGTTTTGACCATTTGTTTCATTCATTCCATAAGGTTACCTATAAGTTATGGCATAATATTTATAAAGAGGTATCAAACTTTACTTTCGAGTTTGCTATAGCTTGTGTTGTACTCACTAAGTTATGGTAACAAAATCGGAGTAACGAAGATGATTTCAAGCATCTGAAGGAAAGAAAAACCATCTTGAATAAGTGAAACTATCAAAAATTAAAACATCACCTCCCGAAACCTCACACTTCAAGTATTCTCGATTAAATCTTTTACTGTACTATGGCGAAGGTAGTATTTAGGATCATCCTCTCTAGCTTTTTCACCCTCTTCATATGCTTCGGCAAAACGGTTTTTAGCATAAAAGCCACCAAGGATTTGCTATAATAAGACAAATTTTGGTTAAAATATTGAACTTTATCTCAAAATTATTAGAAGGATATTTCTACTAACAGACCTCATCCGTCATTATGATTTTATGTTGTTTTATGCAGAATCCTCAATCACGTTCTTTTTAATAAATGTGGAAAAAAGGTCGTAGTGATGCTTTTGAAAATCAAATGAATGGATCTGAGGGACAAAACCTTGCAAATAGTAATAGTAGCTTAAGTTCATATGCCACATTTAATGGTAAGACTTATTAGAACTAACAGCCAATATTGAGAGATTCGGAATCAAGTCCAATCCTCGGATCAAAGGATACACAATCAAGCACCAAACTACGGTTGTCTCAAACGAATCTTAATTGTCCAATCTGCCAACATGATTTCTGCTTCAGTTTGCTTTTGTCTGCCACTGGACCAGATCAAAATGGCCTAACGGAGAACTATATGAAAGTGGTTCGTGATTTACATTCTAGACTTCATAGTGTCTCACTCGTAAGTTTATTTAAAGTGTCACGATTTTTTTTTGATGGAATATTAAAATGGTTTTTATACGCTAGATTACTGGGTAAGGATAGCTTCTAACCTGGTAGTTGACGAGAAAATAGATTACTAACCCTAAGCATCTTTCGGTAATTTAAAATATTATTGACTTCGTTCCAAATAAAAATTTTTAAATCACTTCAAATAAAATTTTTAGCATATACATAAAAGTAAATTACATATGCATTATATAAGTAAATTATAAGTAGAATTTTGTGTTTAGTTTTCAAAAACCCAGTTATGATATAATAGTGGTCAGAGAAAAGTATGCGACGTTGTTCAGACCCCTTGCTAACCATGCTTAATAGTTTTCATCTTTGACATAGTAGTATAACTGTTTACCAAAGTACTCTTTTTGCTCCACCTATAATAATGTTCACTACATGGCTCTTCTATTTACTTTTTTATATTTATTTAAAAACAATGATTTATGGGTATTTTTAATTTCGGATTTTCATTTTTGATGCTATGCTTTAAGGTCACTACATAGCACTTAAGTAACTGTTGTGATCGACATTCTTTTATTATACTACAGTTTAATACCTCGTTATGAATATAAGTCAAGTATATTGACAAATGTCGAATAATCCGATCCCTTTAATAAATAAAGTAGATAATGAACTTAGCCAGTTCATGTCCTGTTTGTTTTCAGTTTAAGGTAATCGTTTAGCATCGTTTGCATTTACAGCCAGTCCAAAGCAACTACTAACTATCATCGCATAATACATCCTCCATTTTATCATGTTGTTTGCAGGCTTAAATAGTTTCCTAACCAGTGTTCACTGAAGGATGTTGATGCTGAGTACCAATCTCTAAGAGCTTAAAAAAGATCGCACTCCCATTTGTTACAGCTTTTACTGCAAATCTAAATTAGTATGATGGTTATAAACATGTCTCAAAGGCTTTTTTTACTTGTGAAACAATCCTCTATAAAATAGTTTGCCAACGTATAATTTTGAGTACAATTTCGCCATAGTGCAGAATAGTTTCCATGATGGTTCAAATAACTTTTGGTCGATATGTAGAAATAAAAATCGGAATTCGAAGTCCTCCACAAAACTTTTAACTCGAAATGTTAAGCAGTCAAAACGAATAAGGTAAGTAAGTAGCAAGACTGTGCGGCTTAACTCGTTACCTTTAAGCCAATCAAACTGGTGTTTAGGTGTTTGAGGAATGAAAACGAATTAGTGATGAAATGATATTACATTTTGTTTATCTTCTGGAGTACTGATGATGTCAATGGACATTTTTTTTACCATCCCATCTGGTGACAATAATTTTACTACTAATTAATATTTTATTTTCACTTTTGATATAATAGGAATGTACCGTTCTGAGATCAGAACTTGAAGTTCTCCACAAAGCGTTCAATTCAAAATGTCAGGCAGTCAAAATTTTAACAAATAGTGTAAGTAATTTCAAAATAGATTGGCAAAACTTTTAATATGCCAACACCTTATCCCATGTATGTTCACCAGCTTGTGAATAATATTAATTAGCTTCTTATATTTATCGTCATTAAATTATGCAACTGTCAAAACTCTGAACCACTGTTTGAAGTTTAGGTCAATAAACCGCAGAGCTTTAGATTTATATAATTAAAAGCCGGTGGTTACTTTGTATTCACGACAGTGCTGCATTATAAAACCAAGGGTTCGATCATAAAAATTTCATCGTTAAATACATTGCTTCTAACTCTAATGTTTTATTGTTTAGCCTTTGGAAAACCCCTTTTACACAACCTTGGCTTTGACTATTTAAAATTTGGATTGAACAGATTGAAAGAATCATCAATCCAATAAAATGTGCAGAAAAAATATGAGTGGTTTGAGGACCCTGACAACTAAATTACGTGCAATCGTGATGTGAATTTTACAGTGGATCAACGCTGGCCATTGTAGACGAAAACATGATGTCAAGATTCTAAAATAATGAATATATTATCAATGAAATATCTGAGCCTTAAGTGAAGGTGTTCAAAAGTAAATTATCAAAAAGTATAATATCATATGCTGTCTAAAAATGAAAAAGTAAAAACTAAAATAAATAAGGCCAAAGAAGAATGCACCCTGTAAACACTACCAAGTGCTTATAGTAACTTACTAAATGACCGTCCGAAATCAAATTTAACTGTCTGAAAATGAAACTTTATCAATCAGTCCTTTTCTTCAGTAATTTTTAAATAAAATCAACCAGGAAACTTTCATATCCAACATTTTCTGAATCATCAGTCAGACATCATAAACTTCTTCCACCTCCTATTCTATTCCACATGTTAGGATGAACTGTGATAGGGGATGGCTGATATTGTTAGTAAAAACAGTGTTCTAGCTAAACAAATTATATTAGCCACAGTAAGAAAGTCATCTAAAGCAATGTTAGAATTTTTGGGATTGATAAAAGAGCGTATACATTGAGTAGTATGCTTCATAATAATCACAGTCATAACTAAGTATTGGTGATGTAATCTGTGGTTGTTTTTTATTAGGCAAGTAATCATTCTGAAACATTAAGTATATTTCTATTTTTAATATGATAGTTTCGTAACTAATCAGTTTGTTTGATTTTAATTTCGTCTTTGAAAGGAAAGAGAAAGCAAACTATAATTGTTTAAGATAAATTGATTAAAAATCATTATTTGAAGATCAACTGTATCTCCTACAATTTTATTGAATGTATTCTAACTCATACATCTACTAAATCCCACTTTTGTTCAGCTTCTTAGAGGAGTTAGATAACCATAAGCTGTAAAGAGTCATATATAGGACCATTTCATAAAATGTAATATAATGTAATACCTGTTGTATTTTATTCGAGATATCTTAAGGGGTTATGTACTAATAAATAAACAATAAGTTGTCTCGTTAGGAAAGCTTTTTATAGGTAGTTGTTTTATCGATGATTTCAAGATACACTTGATTTCATGATTAAATTCGAAAACAAAAGTCGAATCTAACAGCTCCTCATATGGAGTTTTGAATAACCAGACTATTCACTTTAAAAAAAGTTTTCCAATATTCTTTTGTAAAGCAACTCATCTACATAAGTTTACTGTCAAATGTCATAATAAAAATTTAAAAATTCCTGAAGTTTAATATGTCAGTAGAAATATATATTTCAAAATACTGGTGAGTTTCCATAATCTGAAGTATCGTATAAACAACTGTATTATTAAATACTTCATCGTCAACCCACCTATCTGCATTATACTAAATATTTCTGGAGTCTTCATTTTAACCTCTATTGTTGTTGATATTTTGATAAAAATATAGGATTTACATTGCAATTGTATGCTAACCATACTAACACCCGGTGGCTTGATAAATATAAGCTATTTTTATAGTAAGATTTTTAGTTAAATATGATAATATTGAATTTCGCCACTATACATAATGGGTAAAAGTACAAGCTGATATTGACAAGACAGGTGTACTGATAGTAGTAGAAAAGATAAAATACGATAACAAAAGTTTCATCAATATCAGTACAGTATATTCTGATTGACAAGTTTAGTATTTTCTTGTTTTCCTGACATGGGTTATGAACTTCGTAAAAATGTATTTATTTTAACTGTAAGTCAAACATCAACGAAACAACTGTTCATAATAAGTAAACAGAAGATAACCATCTTATCTTATTAGTTATTATTGATTACACTCCAAACTACAGATGAGGAATTTAATTTAGCAGTCTGGATGGGTTATGCTCAGTTACGTTGTCACTAGTGAATATTTACTACCTAAGTGTTAGTGTCTACTGACAAAAAGAAACATCTATCTATAAATAATTTCGATGTCTATAATCTAATTAATTATTCTATGAGAATTGTTGTTTAAGTAAATAAATGATTTTCAAAATCAATCAATAAATAAATTGTACGAACCTTGCCCAGAAAAAATGTATTTTCACTGAAGCGAATTTGTGGAAATTTTGTACAACTTAAAGATAGCTTTTTGCATAAATTGACATCAATAGGCCAAGTGTAGAAAATTGAGAAGTACTTCCAATCATTTTTTCAGTTCGAAGGGTTTTAAGTAGTGCACGTCTGTAACTTCATACCAGATTAGATCCAGGATCATTGTTCGATAAATATAAAAACGTGTTATCTAATCCTGAGATGACGTTATAGTCTCAAAGAAAAAGCATCAATGCTCTGTTAGTTGAACCAACCTAATTAAGTTCTCACTATTCAACCTGGTTCTGTCTTATGTGCAAGAAATTTTCTCCTTTAGCGTCTGAACCCCCAAAAAGCTTGCTATATGAAGCAAAGAGAGATTAGGAAATGGATCTAAGACTGTATTGTAATACAAAACATCTTAGGTATCATTTTGTACACACATATATAAGACAATATTTTGTTCGAAACTGTTTTCGTTTTTACACTAAGTGATGAGAATAACAATAAATTCTTATGAGTATAGTCATAACACCTGGAGTGTCTTTATGAAGAACTTTTTGTGGAGCATAAATTCCAATGATTAATCCAATCCAATCCCTTCACTTGATCTTCTCCATGTGTACTATTCTAATATCCTCCTTTTGCAGAAATTGAAGCGCATATCAATTGATTTCAAGAGTTTGGTTGTTGAAATACGCAGATGAATTTTCGTTAACTGCATGTGTTTATCTCTCCCTCCCGATAGTCAAATATATGATTAAGCTAAACCACACCTGAAATTAACTATGAAATATTTATGACCAATTTATTAATGTAATTCAATATGATAAAGATTGTTTGTTAAATAAACTAGTGTCAATTGTTCAATCATTTCGATTGTATTGATTCACTCTAGTTTACTAATCTCATATATCTAATCAGTAAACCCAGTAAATATAATATTGTATGATTGAGATTTAGTTTAAGTGTATTTAATATTGCATTACTGACAGTGTTCATTTTTGTTCATGCAATTTTTTTAAAAATTAGAATTAAATCATAGGTACTAGCAGCTAATTAACTTTTTATTTGTTTTAACATTCTTCTAGTATCATCCAATTGTTATTTCGCATCACTGTTCATGTTTTCGTTTAGTAGCAGTATTTGTTGTTAACAGAGGTTTTTTTCGATATTAATCAATAAGTATTATTACCAACCTAGATTTATCTGGTATTTCAATTACAAACAATACGTTTGTTTATGTGGATAACTTTATTAAGCTATGTGATGGAGAGAGTGACAAAAGGAATCGGTAATATTTCACGATAAAAATCATTTTGTAGTTATAATATTCTTGAAAATCATATCAATGAAATAATAGTATCAAGGAAAAACATAAGACATAAAAAGTTATTCGTAAACAATACATTCAAAGAGAATAATTGAGGTTTAGTAATCAGGAACTGGATCGCCTTCTAAAAGGAGCAGTTGATTAATGAATGTGTGACGGAATGATCGTTGCTTACGATGAGTATCATGCTGGTTAGTCTGACACTACCGAGTAAATCAAAATCATCAAACAAAGCTCATTCTTCTCAAAAGTATATCCTAAAACCATCTTGCTGAATAATAAATCCAAGTCAACTAGTAATTTTATTCCTGAATATCTGGTTTGTTCAAATGGTATTGCTTCACCAATATTTGCCTTTAAGATAAGTGGTATAATTAAAATCAAGTGCCAACTTGCCACTTTTAGAAAACACAGTTTATCAGCAACCTACTGACTGAGTAGGGAACTATATTACAGGAAAGAAGAATACACACAGTATCCACATATCATCAGGAAATACAGTCTGTATGTCCTACAATTTCTCTGTGGATATAATCCAACGTCTTTCGTTTCTAGTTTTTGGTTTCATTCTCCTTCATATTCTTTATATAACTATATGTTACTATTGTTCTAATTTCCTCCTGGTGATCTATCTTACATGATCTCCTTTTTTGGAATTCTTTGGGTCCATTCAGTCTACATACTGTCTTATATCACTTTCTTAATTATTATTCAATCTCGTTCCATTCACCGAAAAGAATTTGCCATTCTTATCATGACCATTTTTGCTTTGATAATATTATCTTATACTGTTGATAGCAATTAAACATACTTGTAATATGGATAAAATTAAACTTGTACATTTTTAAGAGATATCTTTGGAGAGGAATGCGGTTACATGACATGGAAAAAATGTTCAGGTATTTTTAACAGCATATAAAATTTGTGAGTGAGTAAGAATTAACTTGCAGTATAAAAGTAATCGGTTATATAAAGTGTACCTTAATCAAAACTTTAAACTAAAGAACTACTAATTTTTTAATTTGCAGATCAAAAATTAAACTAGCATTTTATTCGGTATCTCACACGTTGTAGATAAACAAATTTGTGCTTTTAAAGAGCTTTTTAACATTCTTAACAGATAGATGATGAAAATTTCTTATTTAATTGAAACTACACAACTAATACGGGTTTACTCATTTGATCGCTTTGTGATTGTGAACAAATATCATCTGAAATTCACTGAAAACCAAGGAGTACTCAAATGCAATGAGATACTCTCCATGAAGTTTGAAAGTCCAATCTTGCGTAAAATCACAGGTGTATATTGCGCGAGATCAGACAGCTGAAAGTACCAAAGACTTTCATATCTCATGAACAACATACTACTCTCCGATTTGTCATGTTTTCCTAATTGATATTTGTCTCTGTAGAAAAATTTAAATATTCAATGGTACTCACTGTAACCATTCTTCGGTTTACTTTAGCACATACTTAGAAAAAACGTTATACTTCATAATAAAACGACAAAGAGCCAGTCATTCAGTCAGAAGCAGCCTAAAACCTGGAACATATGTGAATTGGTTCAGCAGAAAAATGGAAATATCAAGGCAAGGATAGTAGAAGTAGTAGCAATATCAGTAATAGTAGTGATCATGAATAACCATCAAACTACAATAAAAAACAAATAAATCATTCATCTATTTATTGTTATTATCTTACACAATGAAATCAAAAGCAACTGAGATTTCTCGCATATTAAATTTATTTAGTCTTGAGGAAAAATTTCATTTGCTTCTTATAAAATCAGTCAGAAAGTGATTTGAATAAATATGATGAAATTATTATCAGTATGCCTATAAATACAATGACTAATTAATTTTCAGCTATTTACTATCAGCTTCCTCTTATGCATTAATTCAAGCAAAAAATGTGTTGTATCCAATACACACATTAATCTGCACTATGTTCTCATTTATTAACGTGAGTGTACAATTCATATTAAACTATGCTGTGATTCTAGTATTTGCATTAAAATAGTACAGCCGTTAATCGATTACTAATGTTAATAGCTTAATACTGAAAAATCACAGTTTAACAAAATACGTGTGTGTGCAGATATGTATGTTCTCTTGCAGCAAGTTTTTTTTAGTACGTAACCATAGTATTGTAAATATTGTTTTAATTATATTGTCATCAATTTAAGCTGCTGAAAGATTCACGTGAATACTACCGAAAAATCCTGGGATAAAACGACTTTACCCCGTAGTTTTTCATTTTTATGTATTGTTCAATAAATGTTTTGATTTCGGGACGATAACGGGTTACAAATAGTTAGCCTGCAAAAAATAAAGAATGACAAATAAAATAGAAAATGACTAAAGAAATAGCCATCGGATGTCTTAATGGGGTTTAACTTCTAAAGTTATTAAAGTACGACTCCACCTAGAGCCCCCACGGGGCTACGGCCGGTCCCAATCCCGTATAAAAGAGGAGGGTTAGGCACGAGGTTGGGCGACCCCATCCTATAGAAAACTAACCCGATAAAAAACGCTAAAAAAATAATTCAAACCATTTAAACTCTGCTATGGGAGTTAGAAGGTCTTCATTCAGAAGAGTTATGATGACTCATGGTGAAAGCCGAGTTTCTTTGGAACTCACGAGACCTATGCCCATTCTAAAAACCAGGGCCGTTCCATGGTGTGGGAAGCCGGACGGTGGCGTCCGCCCCCATACCCGTAAGAGCACACGAGATCAAATCAGTCACAATCAAATCTTTTTTACACCTGATAACTCTCTTATCTCCACAACCAACCCTTCTTTCATTCCTTTGTCACCTGGCGTCGCTGAAGAAAACGTTTAGAGCTCACCAAATGTTCTTTTTGGTCTTCCGAAAGCCCGCTTTAAATTACAAATTGGAGCTTTCAGTGTTTTAACCTTGTGTCAAATAGGACAAAAGGTTTCAATAGCTAGGACACATGAATCATATGCCATCGATGTGTGTTTCGTCTCCGAAACGCTCATACGAGATCCTAGTAAAATCATTAATTTAATTTCACCTTGTCCAGATAGAGAGTCAACTCGGTTTACGCTCCGAGTATCTTGAAGCCCTGCTGCTTCCCGTGGCCTTGCTGGTGTAGGTATTGTTTCAAGTCCTATGGCAGAACTAACTCTCCAACACTGAATCCCAGTAGACAGTCGCTTATGCGCAGTCCGAATAAACTGGACAGGGAAACTCCACTGACTGCAACCCGAGCGAGATAAAAGACGAGTTTTACAGAAACCTCTCCAAACTTCTTCAAAAAGTTAAGTGCTCTGATATATATATGGCTGGTGACTTCAATGCTCAGGCAGGTGGACTAAGTGAAAAGGAAAGAAACCTGAGTGGATCTTATGATGTCGCGGCTAACAGAACAGATAATGGCAACCGTCTGCTGCAACTACGCTCAGATAACCGCCCATTCGTAGCTAACACTAACTTTAAGCACAAGGAAAAACATCTTTTGACCTGGCGACCCCCAAAGCCGACCCAACGATTGACCCAACTAGACTACACTGCTATCAGCCATTGTTGGAGCGGATCGATAGAGAACTGTCGCCCATTCTGGGGCACTTGTTTAGATCCAAACCATGCTCTAGTGCGAGAGCGTATTTGTTTGCGGCTTACTGAGCATAGGAAAGATACTGCAAGTTAACCTCTTAGGGTTCTATTTAATAATAACAAAGCTAATAATATATTTCAGGAACAACTAGAAAAACATTTAGGTAGCAATGATCGTGAACAGTGGTGGCTAGAGAAAGAGAGAGAGAAAAAAAGGCAGCGGCGATAGGCAACAGTAGATAACGGTTCTGACTCATAAAGGAAACCGGAATCATGAATCCGACTGTAAGTGAGACTATCTCGGAAAAAGATGGTCTTGTTACTCACTCTTAACCCAGGAGATTGCATTGATGGGCAGAGCACTTTGGGGATCAGTTCAACTGGCCCTCAACCACATTTCGGTTGCCCATGATCTCCAGTCAATCTGAATGGCAAATTGATATAAGTCCGCTGACTCTTAATGAAGTTCGAAAAGCTATAAGAAATCTGAAGCACGGGAGGACAGCAGACTGACCGCTGTTTGCGAGCACGGAGATGGGTCGGAATAAAGGAGGAGGTTGTCAAACATCTATAAAGCATCAGCTCTTAAACTCATTAACTGTCTGGGCGAACCATAAAGGTAGGTGTAGACTTCCTGGTTTGGGTTCTTGTGATTATTGTGACCGATAGTTGTGATCGTTGTACGATATGGCTCATAATCAGAGGTATCTACTCTTCGTTTTCTCCTGAATTTTGTCCAAACCTAATATTTTCTACTGCCACCTCTACTACTATTGAATTTTTGATAAATTCATCTCAGTGTGCTGCATGATGCTGCAGCTCGAACTTACACACATTTGTACCAGGTTCTTGGTTACTTGTGTTACTTGGCTGTTCAATACTTTTTAAACATTTGTATTTACTCAGTCTGTATCCATCGGTGACAAGAACACAACATTAAAGAAAGTACAGAAATTTACTTAAACTGAATTCCTAAAATTATTCTGTGTTTTAGTTGTAATAAAATAAACAGATTTCTGTTAAACTTAGTTCACGGATTTTTAGCTTCATTTGGCTCAAATTTGGCAAGCTAAATGAATTTTTTAATTACATACTTCTGAAACGATTAAAATGAACTGTCCTTTCCCACTAACAGTGTTTATCATATTGCATGTTCTACTGACTTTCGCGTTGCCCGAGTAGTAATTCTAATCACTTCAAAAAGTTGAAATAATGAAGATTTATGTATATATATATATATATATATATATATATATATATATATATATATATATATAATTTGACAAATTCATATATACCCATTACAATTATCAACATTTCATAAGCAATGGTTTATGGTTAAGCTCATCTGTTATTAATCTAGAACTCTGAGGTACATTAAAATTAATAAATATACAACTATATCATTATTGTTAGTGATAACAATAATAATTATTCTTTGGTAATACTCTTATCTTGCTGCAAAAATGTCATTAAGAGGAAAGAGTAGTTGGATTTTTATCTTATATAAAATATAATTTGCTTGCACAACAGAACATTCAACTAATAGGTTACAGGTTTGAGGTTACCTATTGATACACATGGTGTAGTTTAAACAACTACATTACATTAATAGCTACCACATAATTATAACGTATTTTAACTCTGTTTTGAATAACGTTTATATTTGATTATAAGTAATTCTCGTTTTGTAAAAAATTATTTTCCTATCATTTTAGAAATTTCAATCAGCTGATGAGAATGATCAAACACGAATTGATGTTTACACTTCTACAGTTGAATTGGAAAAGGTAAAATCAATATTAACATTGTTACCTAACTTTTAACTTAGTTTCACATGTACGATGCACTTATCATATATATATATATATATATATATATATATATATATATATATATATAACTAGGTAGCGTACTGTTACATGATGTGTCGAATGATGATGGAAGCTTTTCAGTTGAATCATCTAGTTCAGAAAACTCAACAGTACCAAAAGCTTAATGTTGTATCACATTAGTAATATAAAAAGTACTAAAGTACGAACTTGACCATTATTCTTAGCAAAAATACCTAGAAAAAATTCATGACAATATTATAGGTATTATCTTACTCAGTGTACAAGTTGGATAAAACTGATATTAGATAATTGGTTCTAGGTTCGAGTACCAGTATGAACATCAACACTGAAATGCAGGTACATTTAGTTGGTACTAATAATCATATCTTCCTGATTTGTATTTACATTAATTAACCGCTGACTTTAATTTTATAAATTTATGTATGCTGTAATTATAATGCATATAATACCGTTTCAAATAATCAAAGCGATACTAAATAGAATGTTACCTTCATATTAAACTATTGAATCTAAAAAATATTTTTAAATATGAGGACATGCTAAAATTGACCAATAGGTAATTCATAAGTTTAATCTAAAACTGGTCTTATTCTCAAAACAAATACTTAACAAACATTGAATAAAGACACAAGGTAAATATATGAAGAGTTATTATCACTAAAGAAGATAAAATCAATTAGACAGATTAGGAATTGGAAAGAAACACGACTCAATGTCAACTAATATCCATACAAAATTTATATTCTGTAGTTCACTAACTTATTGGAAAACATCTAAAATTTAATAATAATAATTAAATAGGTAATATTTTTGTGATATTTGTATTTCTGACGTCTCATGATATTTGAAAACATCTTATGTAAAGTTTTTACGGAATTAGAAAAGCTTACAAATATCCTAGTGCAAAGAATTGAAAATCAAATACATGTCGAAGTACTTGATTAGCATAGTTTTAATCACGATGATTTAAAATGGAAAAGTAGAATTAACATTAACGATTTTATCGAATTTCAGTTTTATCATTCTATAATAATAATAACGATAAATACAGATATATGAGTTGGTATTTTGACTTATCCACCATTAATCATTAGATTAGATTAGAAATATTCTTAAGAACCAATCACTTTGGACAGTTAGATAGCAGATGTATCTTTTGAAGAATTATCGCAACCTACACACAAAATCATACTCGGTTATTCAAATAAATTATTCTTTCCTCTTTTTATGTTATATATCCTACCGATAGAGTCTATATCATATAGTTAATGCTAACATAAATGTTTAGATGATCACATAACTCAGAAGGTACACAAAGCATCATCCTAACAGTAGCAATAGTTCACAAAATTATGTTTCCTTAATATAGATAAACTTGTTTTAACCTCTTGTCCACCAGGATATTAGGTACCTGTGTGGTTACACCACGGGATTGAGCCAAACTGTTCACGTTGAAGTGCTAACGCGTGGGCAGTTTGCTTGGTTCTCCTGAAAATCATTGTAAAATTATCCTTGACAATAGGGGGTTAATTTATATAAAAAATATAAGTTTTTTTAACCTCAGTCATCGTCAGTCAAAGAATTGTTAAAGTCTTAACAAGTCAATCATTTGATAAGGTGTAATCACAGGGATGAGTCTTCTGCAACATGAAAAGAAAGTTTCTTGAACGTGTTCGACACAATTTTACACAAATTATTCCATGTTATCTGTAAATCCATTGAGATTTTGAGAAAATTTCTCATAGAAAACATCACTCCTTATTGATTTCATTACAATATTTCACATAGCTGTTTACGATTTTTCTCAGTAAATTTTCTCATACACTTAGTTTTCGTTTTTTAATACCCGAAAATACTTTGTGCTTGAGATTTATTTTTGTCTAATGACTATTAATGCCAAATATATGTACAGAATATGTGCATACAAAATCTTGTGAATATTTTATAATCGTTTACTACCTCATAAATCATCACAAACCACTACATCATCATGATATTTATTACCACTCAAAATCGTATACTTATGTAGTAAAGAAAATGGCTATTTAGAACTTTTAAAATAAATTCTTGTCTCTCCACCATTAACACTACCCTAACTACGTATGTTGATTAAAATGTAATTGCTGAATCAAAATAAATAAAATTTACTACCCTTAAAATAAATATTCATTTTGTATGTTTGTGTAAATGCGCTATATAATAGTCATTTTAATGTTTACTACGATGTATCTTGTAGTTATAATTATGATCAAGTAAGTGTTCACTTGACTGTTAATCATAATATGCACTAGTTATACTTAAAAAATAATGTTATAAGATTTGTGTTACAAAACTACGTGAAATTACAATTATACATGTGACAATAAATCAACTCTGTTGATCTCACTGTTCTATCAACGACGCAGTCTATGATTCTAATCTCTTAAACTATGGAAACATAATAATACAAGCGTTCATTACTATAAGGAATAAAGCAATACATAATTCATAGAAAAATGTACGAGCAATCAATTTAAATAAAGATTATAACGATTGAAAGAATTCTAGTTAAATAGGTTTTCCTTATGTGTATCTGATAATCCTATCTATAAATTCTAGAGAATTTCCATTGTAAATGCACTTAAGTGTAATGAATATAACTGATAAAAGCTTATAACATCAAAAGATGAATCGTGTGAATTGACCCGCAATTAATTTGTATGTACACATTAAATCACGTAATTAACTATTCAGCGAAGGAATCTTTTTCACCGAGTTTATTTACAAAACTGTACAATCATATATAAAAGTGATAAATGGTATATGTCTTTAAATAATTATGTATACGAGCTAAGTGGATAACATTATGGCCTTTAAAGCGAATGATACAAGCTTCAGGTTTCGGAGGTACATCTAGCGGATTAGTCTCAAATAAGACGAAACACCCATCCTGGATTCCACTGCTAGCCACTATACATCTCTGCGTATAATGCCTGTCACCTAATAGCCATATCGAGGCACTCCACACAGGATGCACATATGCCAAACGAGAATGACCGACTGAGAGGTAGCACCGTAATTGGTCAAACTGTCACTATATAAATCTATTAGATCAATTGCTGTGTGGAATTTGACTACACCATATTAATGAATAGATTTTTACCCGAGGAAATTCACCATATATATATATATATATATATATATATATATATATATATATATATATATATATAGCAATTCTTCTGAGACAACGATGATCAAACAGAAAGTTTTTTTAGCATCCTCAACTTGGAGAAGACAAGTTTCACAAACACAGAGCAGAACTGCTCTTAGCATAAGTCACCCTGAATTTCACTCACTCCACCATCAGCACTTAACACAGCTAGCCGGGTACACGAACTTCTGAACCACCTCTGTCCATTCACTACCAAGAGTGATGTCAGGCACAGGGTCTTACCAGTCTTGTAAAAATACTTTGCACTTGGAAGCTACAAAGCACTTGCCATACCTACGGACACTGGTTGCCAACTGAAAAAGTGCTAACTGCATGTATTAGTTATCATCCCACAGTAAGACAATATCATGTTCATACTCAGGATAAAAAAGCCTTACCATTACCTACATCCATCGGAGCTATTTTCAGAACGTCATCGGTGGCAGACTTTAAGAAGAGTGGTGAGTCGGGGTAACCCTGTTCAACCCCACTACTTGAATGAACCAACAGAAAGAAGTGGTTGCATGCTCTCACTCTGCCCGAAGTGTTTCTATGTAGAGCCTTCAAGATATTAATAGGCTTTTCAGACACACTCTTCTTTAATAGACAATCTAATGAATTAAATACGGTGACGACTATCGACTGATTGGAATATTCTCTAAATGCTGAATGCTTGCAAATAACTCTGTCAGTTCTTTAACCAAAATGTCGTCATCATCCTTAAAAGGGCACGGAATCAATCATCTGGGTCTGGTGATTTGTGATGCTTAGAGAGTTGAAGCTCCCTGCTGTCCTCCGCCGAATAAGGTGGGTCAGTCGACACAGACCTGTAATTACAAAAAGTTACAAAACGAACCATACGATCTCCATTGACGGTGTGTGTCTATTAACCATTTTAACATCCAATGCAATCATATTATTCGAAATGTTTATATTACTTACAGATTCATCAAATTCAAACAAAATGGATATATATATATATATATATATATATATATATATATATATATATATATATAAGCAATAATACAAATAAATTCACATAATTACTTTTTTTATCACACATGGTAATGTCATATATAATGTTAATTAGTGGTTTCGTGCAGTTCAAGTTTATATAGGCTTTTATTTGCAAATATCTAAAAAATCGATGTCTCTATTCAGTAATAGGCTAGGTTTATTTCACTAGAATGATAAGGTAATTCTTACAAAAATACTTCGTTCGTCTTCATATCATTCATCATTGTGACTTACCATAAAAAATTACTTATACTTGGATTTACAGAAGAAATAATTCAAATTCTATGGTTAACGTCAGGTTGTTTTTAAACAGCTTAGATAAGATTATCTATGTTAATCAGTTTGCCTATATTATCTTTCAACCAAATTTATAAGTATGTTTCTCAAATATTAATTCCATTCATTGATTTTGTTTGTAAATTCTATTTTGGTAGCTGATGATAATCTTCTTTGTTTCACTTTTGTTGTTCGTGTTTGTGTTATATTTTGTTACTTATTCTCAAGACTCACATAATGTACTAACTAAAAATGGTTTAAGTGGTTTTACGAAATCGATATACATATACTGATCACAGAGTTCTTCTTTTGCAATTTTTATAAATGAAATGTTTCTGACTATGTTCTATACCTCAGTAAAAAATTTGTACTAAAACACCAATCTACAAACAATCTCCATCACAGGTGATTCATATATTATGAAGTACTGTTAAATGCTCTGCACCACTTAATCACAGGTATCCTCATGGGACTTCGTCTTTTATGTTAGTGGTGTTACATCTTCTGACTTTAGTGGTTCAAATGAGAAACTTTCATTATCATTCTGTATGACATCAGTGCTTACTTCAAATGAATATATTACGATTTTGATAGAACAGTGAGAAGACGTAACTGATCTGAAAAATGTGACGTATTTGCGCTATACATTTCGAACAATCTGGTCACACATATTTATTTTATATGAAGATGAATAAAAGGTCAATTAAATAAAAGTTCAAATAGACAGGGTGATAATTGTAAATAAAGGAGAGAGAAAATTAACGTAATATGAAAAGAATAAGAAGGGATGGGAAAATTGTCACATTACCCTAGGCTTAAACATTACCAAGGTAAATTCAAGGTTATGACAAATTGTTTCTGCACACATAAGGGGAGTTTTAATTTTCTAATAACCAAGGCCTCCATAAACCTCAAAATTCGTCCTTCAACATTTCTATACAATGTTTTGAAGGCTGTCTTGATGTCAATCTTACGCCCTGTCTCAATTATGTGTTTTGCGATAGATGAACATGGTTTTCTATTCCCAACGCTAATCGGCTCATCTGAGATTAACTGATTTTGAAGCCACTTAGGTACATATTCCATAACTCTTGATTGCAAAGTCCGATTACTCCTCCCTATGTATGTGTGTCCACACAAACATGTAAATTGATAAATGCAATGGGATGTGATGTAATCATTCGAGCAACGTTTAGATATATGCGAAATCATGGACTTGATCTTTTCAATGATAATCAGTTTAGCAGCGTTGTATGTTTTCTCTATGGCTGCTTTTAGTCTCTGTCTTATTATTAGACCATTTGCTTCACCTCTAAATGATAAAGTGATATAAACCTTTTTCTTCTCAGCAGAATGAAAAACTTGCTTTTGTCTTATCTTATCTCTACACCTATGGATGAACTTTAGCGGATAGCCATTTTAAATCAATGCTTCAGTTAAGAATTTTGCATCGTCGTCAAATGTATCCGTGGTGCATATCCTTTGAGCCCTATTGAAGAGGCATTTTACCGAACCTCGTTTATACTGCAGTGGACAAAAACTGCTGAAATTTAGATACTATCCAGTCCACGTTGGCTTTCTATAAACAGAACGCTTTATAGTTCCGTTCTCTCTTCGGCTCAACAGTATGTCTAAAAAGTGCAATCGATTATTATCTTCTGGTTCATGAGTTAATACAATGTCATTCTGAAGGCTATTAAAGTTTTCCAGTAACTGAAAGACGTTGAGTTCTTCATTACATATAATTAAAATATCGTCCATATATCTCCTATAGAGAGTAAGCTTACTGATGTGCTCATTCCACAAATTTTCAGCATATGCCATATAAACATCAGCTAAGAGAGGTCCCAAAGGACTACCCATAGCAACGCCATAAACTTGCTAGAAATGTTAATCATCAAACGTGAAATGAACTTTCTCAGTACATAATAAAATTAATTCTCTAAGTAGACTTGACTGAATGGGAAAAAGGGGGATATTACCTATATTGATGAATGCTTAAAAGAAGCACGTGTTCATTTTTCTCTGAGGTAGCAGTTATATCATTTGGATTTCGCTCTTCAGTAAAGCATATAAAAACAACACTTTTTGTCGTCTGCTGCAACTATAATCTGAATAGTTCACCTCTATAACTTCGCTCATATTACTTCTCTCATAATGAATCATCATATCAGAATATTCAAAGATAATATGAGTCATGTTTCAGAAGTAGTCAGACGCAAATAAATTCATTCTTCGTCTTCCATCAGATCCTGAGTTTCGGAATTACGGCAAACCTTTCATTCTGTAAACGATTTGTTCCCATTAAGTGAATTTAATTTATACCCATTGAGAATCGTTTAGTATTTGTTCCCAAACTAAGAGTCTGATCCATACATTTTATTTACTTTCTGTGAAGTTACAAAAATATTTAAGTATATAATCCTTCCAGTATTCAAGCTAGAAGCTCACTATCCAGTGTTAAAATAGTCAAAATATTAAAAAAATCTGATAAACATCTAACCAAATAGTAAGATTACCGCAAATATAATACTAATGACTGAATTTTAGCTGAGTTTATCTAGATTCCACTGAAAAGTTGTGGTGTGTAGAATCAACCAAGTGGAGGAAGACCCAACTATTTTATGATTACATTTAAATAGGATCACACTTGTCTTACAGGTCGATCCAAGTGAAAATTGTGGTACGTACGAGATCTCTTCCTGTTACCATGCTCACCAAAAAGCTTGAATATTCCGGTTTTAAGGCTGTATGGGGCGAATAGAGGTCAATGTCAAGACGTCTAAATTAAAAACGAAACAGCTATTCACTGATCTCTGATTCTTATTTGTATACGAGATGATATTAGTCCGTTTATAAAGCTATCACTAAACTGAACAAATCTCAGCAAATTACCCTTTTTAAGTCACTTATTAATTTTCATAATCTGATATTTTCTTTTTTAACCATAATTATTTCATGTAATGAGTACGTTTCCTAAAATAAATATTTACAAATCACTAATGATAAAACCATATCCATATGGTTTGTTTGCAGGAAATAAATAAACTGAAAATTGATCTTGAACTAAGTAAAGGTGCTCTGTTATCACAACACCAGTCTTCTAAGGCAGAAGTTCAACAGTAAGTAACAATTTCTATTCATTTTTTTCAATCATTCACAAAAGAGTTAAATTATAATCATTTATGTATTGAATTTACTAACATTTTAGAAAGCTTACACATTAATAGTCATTGGTGATGACTAGAAAAAGAACAGGAAACAACTGTCTAGACCCTTGACACGTACTGAAAAGTCAGCCATGAATTAGAATATCATTAAAAATGACTAGACAGTGATTTGTTGTCAGACTGCTTAACCAGAACAATCAGTGGAGCAACTTGAGGAGGTATCATATAATTTTCTACTCTCAAAAAACATAAACACAGCACAAACTTTGATGTTCTTTGTATTCTTCAGTTATATACAGACTATTAATTTTCGTCGATCCAAGATCCAAACATACTTACAATTTTTGATGAATGCATACTTATCAGAGACCGGTAAAATCATGGTGAAGGCATTGATTTGAGAGTTGGAAGAAAGAGTAAAAGAGAATCCTTTGAACATCTAACATTTTTACTGATCTTTACCGATCACTAATTAACTAAAAGTTTCAAAGCAATTTAATATTTTATTAATAAAAATTGTAGAGTGTATACAGCTTGGAAGAAAGGAATGAAACACAATAAACTCGCCTGATTCCGGAAAATGTTTCGCTCTTGTTTTGTTTCAACTTCGGGTGCTTCCTAATAGCCCTTTACATACTATCCAGTTGTTTATCCATTCAGAAACAATCCACTGACATCGTGCTATTTTTGTGTTTCTTGACCTGGAGTCTGCATCTAAATGCTTTGATAGATGTTATCTTAAGGTTAATCATTAAATCCTGCATCAAGTTAAACAAGAAATCTGGAAGCTCTTTATTGAAGCGTTATTGATAGAACCAAAGCTTACAATGAACCGTTGCCAAAATTGTCTACCTCTAGTGATATTCGTTACAATTGTCCACTTTCCCCTTCTCACTTAATTTATCCACAGAAACCACCTTATAGGTTATTCATTCACTAACTTTTCATGGATTAATTTAAACCTGGAAAATTTTCTTAGACAATATGTACATAAATAAGAGTTCTGTTCGATGAAGTGAATGGAAACATACAATTCTCTAAAGCTACTGAGTAAGAGTGTATGGATATTTGCGATACGTTTCTTTTCCACCAACTGCTTCATGACTTCATCCTTTTAATACCTAATCTAAACCCATAAAATCAAGTAGCCAAGCGTTTTGAGCACCACACTTGTCTTGGGAATCTCATACGTGATTTAGAGAAGAACGTAGTCTGCCTAGCAAATGGAAAGCAGAATTCCCATCAGATAACTGTGTCTGACTTCGGAGCTATGAAACAGCATATTGTAGATGTCTTCGAAACAATGTTGACGTATTGTAAAATCTTCAAGTAAGAAGTGTCGAATTCTTTCCTTGAGTATTGAATAGAATATCTATATTGGATAATGAGACTGGGAGTCTGCACTGACTAAAGAATCCACACATCGAACCACCATATGCCTTGATTTCGTTAGAGCCTAACATAATATTCAGTTTTCGAGAAGTTAAGGGAATCGGGCCAAATACACAATACCAGTACATTTTACTATGACGGAGAACAGCTACCCAAGTTGATCTACACAACAGATGTTAGCAAGAAGCAACCAAGTAAATATGATTATCAGTCAAAGTGAACCAGATATGTATCAGTATACTGACATAATGTTATGATCCACTTTTGGTGTATCAGAAATCTTTGTCTGTTATTTTTGTTTCCGTTCTTGCGTTAAGTCATGTTAATCATATTCACTTATTAACTATTGAAATGAATGGCATATGTAGATATGCACTTCCTGGAAGTGGTCCATGCAATGAATTTTAGCGTCTGCACCTACTAATATGGCTCAGTCCAGTTGTCAGTGGAAACATGGATTTGCGTTCTGCACGTCGACCCGATAGCTTGGATTAAGAATAAATGATAGTCGTATTCTTCTCCGTGATAGTCTTACTAACACTCGGATTCCAGTTTCCTTGATAATTCTGAAGAGTTGTCTACTACCACTGCTTTTTCCGTCCCCCTTGCTTTGCTACCTACCACTGTTCGCGATCACTGCACAGGCTCCTGAACTTAGGCTGGCTCAGCTCTTCATCATGTTCGGAGCCAAATGGGATGAGTTTGCGAGCATCTACCAGTACAGCAGATGTTACTGAAATACACTGCTTCCCCCTGACCTCATAGTTTACCTTACCAGCACGTATCACTGCTGCTTCCACAGCTTTCTGGATATCGTTCCAAGCTGTCTCAGTTCGGGCATCACTTAGATAGCTGTCTAACTGTTCTCCTAGTTGCTCCTGAAATGTACTCTTTTCTTTGCTATCGTAAGTAGAACTCTAAGGAGTTTCCCTGCTGTGTTATTGCTACGCCCAGTAAGACGCAGACAAATACGCACTGGTGCTAGAGGTTGATCTGAATTTAAATATGTGCTACAGAATGAGCGGTAATACTCTATCAAGCCTTTGCATCAGTGGCTGATAGCGATGTGATCTATTTGGGTCCGGCGTTGGGACAGTTTTGGGGGTAACAATGTCAGAATATATTTTTCCTTGTGCTTACAGTTAATGTTTGCTAGAAATAGTCAGTTGTTTGAGCATATTTGCAGCAGGCGGTTGCCATTATCTGTTCTTTGGGTTGCGACACCATAAAATCAACTCAGGTATCTTCCAGTTTCACTTATTCTACATACTTGAGCAATAAAGTCACCCGCCACCAATATTACATCAGAGCCTTTAACACTGGAGGAGGTTGGAAAGCTTCCTGTAAAACTCATATTTTACCACATCTGAGCTGCAGTTAGTGAGAGTGTAGGCAGATACGACGAAGAGGCAACGGTGAGTGTCCCTATCTTTCCGTGTCCCTTACTGTCTCGTTGAGTCCGACAGCACATAAACGACTGTCTATTGGGATCCAGTCTAAGAGAGCTACTCCTGCTTTAGAACTTACTGCTATACCTACACTAGCGAGTTCACGGAAAGCAGCGGTAAGGCTTCCAGATGCACAAAGCGTGAATCGAAATGGTTCTTAATCTGAATAAAGTGAGGTAAAGTGAGTGAGTTTGCTCGAATCCTGTGTGCGCGTTTGGGAGACTCAGCATATGTTGATGGCACGAAATTGTAGAGTCTTAGCTAAGAAAGCCTGTTGTCTTATTGGGCTTGGTTTCAGGAGACTAGGAATAACGTTTTGCGTACTCAGTCGTCTGTATCAAGTGGCGTCAAGTGATTAAGCGATGTGAGAACGTTTGGTCGTGGACGTAAGATGGTTTTTCAGAGATATTGCAAGGATTTGATTGTGACTAGTTTGGTCTCATATGCTGTTACGAATATGAGGGCGGATGTCGCTTCCCGGCTGTTCACACGGTGGGTGTTTCTTGAGGAACCTGGGGAGGACTTACTTTAGTGGTGGAAAAGAGACAGTTGCGTTAACAGTGAAATTTCTGACCACAACCTATTAATATTATATTGTAGCTACTTCTGTTTGGATTGAAAGTGTGAAATATTCAAGATTACCATACTTTATCTTCTGTTGCTAGCTACGATTATCGGAAACTATTGTTATAGATATTAAAATATAATAAAACCTTGAATTTTTTTTCATCTTCCATTCAATCATGTTCAGTGATGTTTATTTTTCACAAATCAGTTGACTAGTATCATATTCTTAATATTAATACTGAAGGAATAGCGTTTATTAATTCAACTGCATCCATGTTCCAACCATGATTGACAATCACTACAGTTTTTCGATGCAGTCTGTAGCGCACTGGATCAGTAACTCTAAAGGCAGATATTTCAAATCATACGGTGATATAAGGCTTCATTCAATTTCAAGCATCGATTTTGTATCTTTCTGACAGAAATTATCTTCATCAGTTGATTGTTATATGACTAAAATAAATTTTTTCCGTTCAATATTTTAATGATAGATTGAAAAATGAAAATGAAAATCTAAAAAGGCAGTTGGAAAATCTACAACTTAAAACTGGACAATTATTAGAAGAAAATATGCGTATGTAACTGAACAGTTTAATTTTATGTATGTACTTAAAAGCTTTTTTCAAAATTAACAGAAGTCTTGTTTTAAAAGGTTTAAATAGATGAATTAGTATCATAATAACCGTAGTAAACTAACTACTGGCTAAAAATTGTAACCTTCACTAATATTTTATCCATGATTCTATGTAAATCAATATGTTATACTAAAATTAGGATGCATCAAATTTTCATTGTCCCGTGTTACAAATAATCATACATAATGATAGGAATTAGTTGAAATCATCAAATATCGGTCATATAAGACCGGTATATATATATATATATATATATATATATATATATATATATATACATTTATATATGGACTTGATCGATAAAATCCTTTCTTTGTTGAAAAGCTTAAACATTTTCTAATGTCTATTCAATTTGTGCTAAATGAATAATCCAAAAGATTTTTTTGTTCCACTAGTGTCAATTTGAAAAGTATCTGTTTGACAATCAATAAATTATTAAAGAACAAAGAGTATAGAATCAATGTACTATCGATTGAACTCATTCCCCTTAAGTAGGCGGTAGACAATGAATTGAATGTAATATGATTTAACCAATATGGTAGTACATATATAGCGCTGACTCATTGGTAATTGAAGAATTCTACTTTCAACTACTAAGCGGTGGGCTTAAACTCTCACTAATATTCAAACGTAAAACATATTCCTCAAAATCCAAGCACATGAGACTGATACACGGTCATTGGGTTGTATTAAAAAGAAGCATCGTTTCATTCGCGTTCCGAAACTAATATTTTCTGTTTTTTTCAGAAAAGGAATAATCATTCTTTTAAAAAAATAACAACCTAGTATTGACAGTTAAAAATATCGTTAAGACTGCCGTTTTCTTGAAGAGTTCATTAATCATATTTAAACGTTATGTACATTTCAATTGTAATTATTTCTAATTATTTTCACATGAGAAACTAATGGACTTCTCAATATCATTTGAAGAATCGGTTAAACCCGTTCGCATTTTTTAGTCCTGCTATGCTTATCAGTTATGAGCATTTCAATAGCTGAGAGGTTTCTCTTAGTTCTTGATGAGGAACAAAGTATCCATCATCCTGTTTTGAATTTGGTCTAAAAATCCAAGAGATTCCATCCTAAGTCTGATTAGTTCATCCCCAAAGCATACTTTCACCTATCACCAAAACAGTTACACATGACAGCTAGTCACTGTTTCAAAACATGGTTCACTCGTATACTTTGAATTTTAATAAGTCCAATATTAAACGGGAAATAGTAATCAAACAAATGGATTGATAATCAATACTATGAAAACATTTCGCATCCTTATCCAAACCCTTTCAGTGATTAACATTCATATTATCTTTTACTTAGTGCCGAATATCAGGTGATACTTACTAATTTTATAGCTATCCTATATTCTTTAACAGAAATAACCTTAAAGCGTTCAGTAAACTGAGTGGTTCATATGTAAAAAAGAACTGTAGCTTCATCAAATATGCATTATTCAAAATTACTCATAAAATTGCAATGATCTGTCCAGATTAATTTGAAATTTCAGCCACATTATATATATTGCTCATATCAACATTTTATTTTTATGTCACGTTAGATCTTCTACAGAAGAACACAATGTTAGTCTGTTCACCTACATATGAAGAACAAGTAGAAAAATCACCTGAAATAACCAATTTAGAGACGAGTGCCAAGTTTTATTTGAATAAAAATTCATTGGAAAAGCTAGCAGATCAAGACGTTTCACTTACATCAGAAGGCATTCTTTACTTATTAGAAAATCGCATTAAATCACAACTTCACAATAAACGAAATTCGTTGCCTGAAACGCAAACAAATGTAAAAGATGCTTCAGTTTCTCAGAATGGATTTCAATTATTTCTCAACCGTTTTCGTTCGCCCAAATTGGATAAGATGATAAACTCCCAACAACAACAACAACAACAAAAACGGTCTCATAAACCATCCTATGTCGAGAAAGATATTCAATGTGACTTTAATTCCTTTGCACTTCAAGGTTCCGGCATTCGTGAGATCTCTATCCCATTAAGATGTTCATGCATAAATGATTCAGATGAAGCTTGTGAGTGCGCTCGAACTGCTGTTAATGTTCTTCGACAACTTTTACGGTACAAGTGCCAGGTATGGATAAATTAATGTTTAAATGATAATCATGTTTATTAAACAATAAATCCAATGAGTTTTAATTAAACAACACAAAATGAAATTCACGTTTAGGAAAAGCCAGTATTATTCTTTTTAAACTGATTGTGAATGAGAAACCATTCGTGTTTCGTTCACTGTATATTAGTAGAATCGAGGCCATAAAGACTGATTCACAGAAACTTAGGAAATACCTATCTAATCCTTATTTGTGGCAATTAACTTGCTTTGTTTCCTGTTTCGATGGTCCAAACAATCCTTAGGAGTCCAATGTAAATAGACAGTTGCCTGCCTCACCGTTCTGTGATTTGTTGTTTCGACATTGTTTCTGTTAGATTACGCTTCTGTATTCTGAGGACGAAATGAAATCACAGTGGAGTCAAATTTGATGAGTAGGGATGGTTATCTTACTCATTAATAAGATTACGGATTAGAAACTGGTAGACAATCGCTGCCGAACCAATAAACACATTACTGTAACAGATAGATAGACAGACAGATACAACGCAGAACGTCGTACGTACGTACACCAGTTCAGGTTGCCATAACGCATTAGCACAGAGATAAAACTGTCAGTTCAAAACCAACAGTGGTAGAGATGGTAGAAGTATTAGTTGTAATCGGTGAAATTAATTTACGAAGATATTATTCATAAGTAGAATCTAGTGAAATAAATTTAAAAGAGAAAGATAGATCTGATGAGGAGTTCAGAAGGTTAGAATTTGAGAGAATACAAAAAGTGGATGCACTTGCGCCATTGCAAACGATTTTGAGCCATGTCGTTCAAGGTCTCTAACCATTGGTGACTTTCGTCTCGCGGACCCCGACCAGGTAGTCTGCACCTACTGACATGACTCAGTCCACTTGTCAGTGACTTCATGGATTTGTGCCATGTTTTGGCTTGGCCTCCCCTTTCTTCCAACCTACTCCTACACCACAAAAAAGCTCAGTGGGGCAGTCGGTGATTGAGCATATGTAACACCTCAACCGATGAAGTTTCACTACTTCATCACTTGATCTGCCATCCCTACCTAGTACTCTTTTCCTAACTACAGCATTGCTTACTCGGTTGTCCCAGGATGCACGAGCAATGCTTCGGAGACATCGATGATCGAAGACTAGTAACCTAGAAATGTCTTCTAATCTTACCGGCCATGTTTCGCATCCGTATATTAATTAGGAAGGAACAAACTAATGCGCAGTACACTCGTCTTTCGTTAGCAAACGGATATCTCGCCTGCGCCGTAAGTGACGCAAGTTGGCGAAAGCCAATTGAGCTTTCTGTATCCGTACTGAGGTTTTGTCAGTCACCAGGCTATCAGGACTAATGAGACAACCAGAATAAGTGAAGCGGTCCACGCGCTCGACTACTTCACTCCCTATCACTAGTTCAGGTACCGATGCAAGCCAATCTTGAAGCAACATTTTGCATTTCGACGGACAGAATCGTACCCCAAACCTGCTTGCATGGTTGCTTAGGGTCATCAGAAGACTGCATTTTATCAGCGTCTACTCTAAGTAGAACTATCTTATCGGCATATTCTAGTGTAACGGCCAACAATACTACCCAGCTGCCCGAACGGATGTTGGTGGAGTGAATTTCGACCTAGGTCTTAGTGGCTGAAAATCAAACACTTTAACCACCAAATTACATTAACTTTAATCACTAGTATCAAAATTGAAAGTAAATTCCTGCAAATCCCCAGCATTAATGTCTTAATAAAATGCTAAACTTGTGTTAAACTTACAATAGCTGTAACAAAACGTATTTACTGTGAAAATTCAGACATTCTTCAGAATGCCCAAACTGCTAAAATGTTTATCAGTAAACAGGTTATGCGATTTCGTGCAGCGCTTTATATTTTCTGAGTGTAGTTTCAATTGCGAATTAATGTAATCTGGAGCGATAAAATCCAGAAAGCACTAGACGCGGTTACACATTAACAATGAGCATCAAATTTAAATAAAATATCTGTCTACTAAACTTTACCAGATACATAATAATTTTGATCCCCTCGTTTTACTGTAAATCTGTTTTGCGAGGGAAAATGCCTTTTACTAGAAAGTATTCGTTTAGATGTAATTGGTCTCTTCATGTTACATCAGGTTATTGCTTAAAGGAACATTCTTAGTATGAATTAAATACAGTTGGGTCCCCTTATAAATGAGAAGCATATTATATTCAAAGCATTTATAAACTGTAAATGTACATTATTAAAAAATTTGCTTTCGTTATATCCACAAGTTGTCTGAAACGACAAGAAAACTCGAACGACTTGAATTATCAGAGGATGCTCATCGACATGCATTAAAAGAACAGTACGAACGAAACAAATATATGTCTGTCCAACTTGCCGGGATTCTGCCATATACACCTGAAGAATTATTGAACTGTAAGTGATATTTCTTAACACTGGCCAGAATGAATGCAGTGATTAGATTAGTCAATGAGTTTGTGAATCTATATCGTTTGAAGTGGAGCGGCTTTGTTATGGTAGAGAATGTAATAGTAGATCAAATTGTCAATAACTGTTCCAAACCTTGCAGATTTATAAGCTGGAACATTAGGAATTACGTAGCTCAGTGCTAGAATTATGTTCGTGGAAATAAACTTGTTAAGTGTGTTTTGATGAACAACTATTATACCGTTAACCACTTAATTCCCTTTTCCTAGAAGTTAGAAGTGTATTGGATCTAAATCTGCAATGTGAAATGATGCAAGACGACTGGTCTGTACTTATAAGAAATTTAATAATAGGAGTTAGTCTTATTGACATTATGAACGTAAGTAAAAAATAATCTGAAGAAACAATACATTAGTTGTGCCAGAGTATGCAAATAAACAATGTTAATTTATTCCTACAAAGATCATATGGTTTAAACGAAAGAAATTTTAATGGGGAGAAAGCAAATACTACCATAAGGACAGTGAAAACATCTTTGCTCGTGAACTGATTGTAGAAACATTGTGTAATAAATATTGAAACTGAGTTGTCTGTTAGGATCTCTGTGGTACATCTAACCTACATGATAGTTTGTTTATTGATGCGGAAGCAGGAAATAAATAAGAAAGCACGTTATTGGTTCATTAAATCTCAAACAGCAAGTTTTTCGTATACATTTTTTCATACACCCTTAAATATAACTCATATTTTCCCTCCACATCTACATAAATTTAGATGAGCTGTTTGAAAGTCATCTGTTTGTACATATTTAGATGATTTAAATCAGTTATGTTATTCCCTGTGGTTCAATGAGTTTAAACGGAAACCATAATCTTGAACGAATAGGCATATAACAGACAGACTCTACACACAACCAACACAAATATTTTTTAAAATTAAGTTACACAAGTTGCTGGCAATTTTCAAAATAAGATTTCTGGCTGCATTGGTTCTGGATATCCGAAGTGTTATTAAGTGATTGAAACAGAATATGATTTATTTGAACTAAAATCTGGAAACATATCCTAGTAGCTTCCATCTTTTGTAACATACCATCCAACCAAGGACTTAGTGGTGGCTATGATTAATGGTAAACTTTCGTGCACAAATTGAACGAGTCTTTATATGAAGTAATAAATATCCTGCTTGTGAATAGCTATGGTTCTCATATATAAGCATCAATCTTGTATGAGTGGCATTAGAAATTCATATGTTACCAATTTCAATTACCATGATTGTGCGATCAATGAATTATGAACATGAATTTGCTTCTTACTTGTTTAAATCCTAAGTTTCTAATTAAGATTAGTTGTTTTGTTTCAAATATATGTACATCTATGGTGCTACTTTGTTGCGATAAGTATTCCTTTGTTATTAAGTAACCATACAGTGCAAGCTTTTGCTTGATTATCGTTCAAGGCTTTGTAAAACCACATTATGTGTATACATATTTCAAAACTATGTTTTACCAGAGAAATTCCTTTTTACATTAATTTTTGTATAATAAACGATCATAATACCGGTTTTCTAGCCGATATATAGTCAATATGACCTGCTCATCAATAAAAATCAATACAAATTACAAACATTGGAAAGTCGATTATCTTATCTGATCATCATGAATGATGAACAAAATAATCTAATATTACTCAAATGCTTATCTTCACATATACAACAACTATTTTGCACTTCATTATAATCATCCAGTGTACATAAATCTGTCTGGGTTAACTATCAAAAATCAGAAAACGAAACTGTCAGGTTTGAGCTGACACTTTTATGAGCCACTATATTTTACTGTAGTTTTAAAACACAGTTACTGTACATTACCTGAAAGGCGAAACTATTCAAGGATCACTAAAGTATTAGTGAGATTAACGTTTTACCACACCGTAAAATTATAATATTATGTTACAGTGTGTCACGTTAAATCTCAACTAAGCACTGAAATCGCTGCCCATAAAGAAACAGTAGGAGCTTCTCAATTAAGTCATCTAACTCAAAGAATCCAACTCCATCAACAAGTCTGTGTTCAGATTTGTATATTTTAGTGATATAAATGGTTTACCGGTTACTTGTCTAAATTGTTGGTGTTTCAGGATTATCTGAATTATAGCGAGACTCATGGAAACATAGGTGTCTACCTGTTGGCTTGATAAATGAACTCATAGAAATGATACATATCCAACGACCTAACCATAGAACGCTTCAACCTTAGATAAAGTTGAAAAATATTAGGATGATATCCTTTAAACTAGAGGGGCTCAATTAAATCGTGTATTGACGAAAGGTTGTTGCTAAGAGATCTCACACCGTTGCAACACTCCTTAACCTCTTGAAGTAGTCACCTTATGAACATGTGGTTTAAGTAGTGAATGCGAAGGAGGAACGGAAACATATTCAGTTGGTTCAAAGTCTAGAAAATCGAACCTCAAGAACGAGATTCACATGAAATCCATGACACTATATTTATAATTTTTGACTACTAATCGCAATCTGAGTGATTTGAAGAGAATATCTCTGAATCTTAAAGTTTGTATTAGTCATAATGTAGTGAATGAGAACACAGGTGGGGCAACCGAATTGTATTTAACGAAAATTACAGAGTTACTCAGTAAAATCGGAAAACCATATCGTAAATCGTTCATTTGCAAAAGATCAGTTCATCCTATGGAACTGGACTGTTCCTGTTGCCAAACATCAATCCATTGTCACTATTCATGCGTTTCATACAAATTCCATTGTTTTCTAACTCTTCCTTTCTTGATCTTCCCCACATATTATGCTACCAGACTTTACGTTGACACTCACGTTATATACTACTTATAAGTAGTTCGCACCACAGCACCACAATAATAATGACATTAAGATTGAAATGCAAGTCCAGTTCTAAAACTTTCAGTCACAAATATAAAGTTCAACACCTACAAATGATATATGTTTAGAAAGGCGTGAGTCTACTGTACAAATTGTAAATATAGTATAAAGTATTTTGACTACAAAACAAATATCCTCTACTTAAGCTAAATACAAATGAAAACCTTGTAATTACCGAACATGACACAGGATCATTAGTCTTAGTGAACAAAAACAGCGTTACGAAAGATGTATACACGACTCAACAACCATAGGAAATTCCAGGTATTCTTTTCGGAAACAGGCCTTAAAGAAAAAACTGAGTGACAAGCGGCTCAATCACCAGGGGACTTGCAATAAACGGGTTTGATTTCCCAGGACTTTTATGTAACCTTCAGACTGACTAATACGGTAACATCTCAAATTTATGGTCTGTCAAAAGTACACAAGCATGACTCAACACTTTCCTCAGTAGTACATATACTAAATATGGTTAGAACTCATAAAACCACACGTAAAAGTTGTAAAAAATGCCGATAGAATTAGAAACTTTAGGGTGAACAAGAAATTCATGATTTCACTTAGTGTTTCATGTGTATTGACGAACATGTTGCTACTGATAGAAACACTTGATTTTATATGTGATAAGTTGCGAAGTTGAGGAACGGAAATTGATCTCTTTTTTCTTTGGAAAAAATTGAAAATAATGACTTGTCCCGCTTAAGTCATTTAAAAAATACGTACAATTACAATAAATTACACCACGTATTCAAAGTTGATTCTTTTTTTGTAGTAAATCCTACAACGTTAACATAATTTTATCTGATGATTTATATTTGTAAAAAATAATTTATTGTCAGTTCCCTTGTCACTCATTTGTTTCATTTTTTTGGCTATAATTGAAGCTGAAAACTATCCATTATCTTCCCACTCTCCATCAACTGTAAGGGATTCATTCAGGAAAAATAACTCAACAGTTCCGCAAACATTATCTTCTACAGAATCGCTTCAAAATTTATTATTGTGGTTTGACAAAATTCTAAAAGCAACTTCAATATCATTGAAAAGTTTATTATCAATCGATAATCAAATAACATTTGATCAAGATAAAAATAATGTTAAAAAGTCTACCGGTAATTTTATGTTGGAATGTTTAACACCATTCAATGAATCAAAACGATACCAATATGAAAAAAATGCCACAATAGAAAGAATTGAAAATTTACGTGATGTATCAAATAAAGAACAAATTAGTTTGGGTACAAAACGAAAAATAAGTCTAAAAAGCATTAAGTCTACGTGCAATTTTATGCCATTACAATCAAACGATATGAGTTTGGCTGATAAACTCGTTACTTCAGATAATCATATAGCAGGAATGAATAATGAAACGGCTTCACAAAATCAAACGGTTTATCCGCGTAAAGTAAGTTCATATTTAAGAAGGAAATAAGTGTAAATTTGTTCAAAAAAAATTTCACGGGAAATCTAGTTTTTAAAATGAATCATCACAATCAGTGAAAACGATAAAGCTGTTGATATAATTAAGTAGTGCTATAAAACCGAATTTTCATTTCTTTGCTTTTTATTATAAGATTTGCTCTTTAAAGAAGAACAAAGGATGATTAAGCTTTGTAATATACAATGTTTGAACTACTCAGTTGATTACAATGCGATCAATACTAATAAGGTGAGTAGCAGAGCACAAGAAAACACGTTATATATACTTTCTGCGCAAGTTTTCAAACACATAAACAAATTAATTTTATACAGGTTGGATCAAGATTTATAGGAAGGTACACTGAATAGATCCACTTTCAATTTATGTAACTTTTCGTTGAATTCTGCATTATTTTAATTAACATTTTTATTTCCTAAATTGATTGTTTATATGATAAATTTCGAAAGCATTTTTACTGTCTGTTTATCGCTAGGAAATTTTCAATAAATATCTGGGTATCAAAACGGTTGAACATTTCGGATATAATTTGCTAGTAACTTACTTACTTACTGACGCCTGTTACCCCCAATGGAGCATACGCCGCCAACTAGTGTTCTCCAACCTATTCTGTCCTGGGCTTCCCTTACTAATTCTGTCCAATCTTTGTTCCTTCTTCTCATGTTTGTTTTCGTTACTCGGTGTAACCTGTTCCTTGGCCTTCCTCTTTTCCTTTGTCTTTGGGGGTTCCAAGTGAGGGCTTGTCTTGTGACGCAGTTGGGTGCTTCCCGTAATGTATGTCCTATCCACTTACAGCGCTTCTTCCTGATTTCTTCTTCCGCTGGAATCTGGTTTGTTCTTTCCCACAGTAAATTGCTAGTAACATCCAGTGTTATACACAGCATGTTAAAATCAGAATATAACAAAGGTTTTGAAAATGGTAGTAATGCCCTGAAAATTAGCAAAAGCTACAAACTGTTAGTCTCAAAAAAATATATATAAAACAGATACCTGCTCTTAACTATGACTTGTAAAATTATGTAAATTCGAAATCATTTTCACTATGACTTCCTATTAGCTATAATTATGAATTCATTTTAGATTTCCAGATCATCTTCCATACATGCGAATCAACTCAAATCTCGATGTCAATCAATGGAACATGTTTCACCGCAAAGGTCTTTAAGAGATGAAAATGTGAATACTATATTACTGCATCAGCTTTTACTTCAGGTAAATTTTTCAGCAGATTAATCCATGCAGAACTTGTAATTAATCAACGTTAGTAAGACTCACTGTTAGGAATAGATCACAAACACAGCTTGAACATACCTAGTATATCAGTTGATACTAACAGTAAGTTTTTACGCGATGATACGGAAACCAACAAAAAGCTTATAGTTAAATCAAAGTTTGTCTTTTTTGATGAAATAGCTCCTTCAATCAATCATGGACATACATCGGTCGTGTGAATGATACACAAATTTCATATAATTAATTTCTTTCTCTTCTTGCCGCCCAATAGGTTGACAAAATCCTATCCATTAAATTTTCATAACTATTCAATTACCAGTTCAAATGTGCAAAGAATTCTGACGCAGCAACAGTATATATATATATATATATATATATATATATATATATATATATATATGATAAAACTAGTGCATGGTTCCCTTCATCCTCGACAAATGTATTTTTTTAATATATGTACAGAGACTATACATAAGTATTCGATGAATTTGTCTGTCGCAGATTTGTCGTGCATTAACGCGGTATTAGTTTACAATAATCCAGTGGTATATCACTAATATGCGGAATGCCTTACAAATATGTGCTGCACAAAGTTCACTGAGATAACTGAACATTTCCAAGGCCAAAAGCCTTCATAAAATATTTATCTTGCAATATGCTAAGACACTTAGAGAACACATAAAATACAATAACCTTTTTTTGGAAAAATTACAAGACTAAATCATAAGAAACTGCAATTAGAATGGGCATGTACCTCTTAGATCCTCCTAAAAAAGTTATAAACTGAGCAGTATATAAGTTGATAAACATTCAATATTTATGTACGGTAAACAATTAATCCACATCACAGGATCATTTTACAGTATTCATATATATAAAATAAAAGTGACTGATGAATATATCCGCCTAATAATTGTGAAGCTAATGGTTAACATAGGTGTATATACTAATTGGTTTTACCTTTATTTACTGAAAGGTCGTGCATTCTAATGTGCTAATTAACTGAAATGAGCGAGACATCTTACCAATTGACTTTAAACATCTAACATCAAAAACTCAGTTAAACTAGTGACCATATCGTAAACTGATCAATAGAATCAGATAAGAACTAAGAAATAGACTTTCAAGATTTTAGTTACTACTCATTAGTACTCAAACTATCCTAAAATCTATACTATCTACAAACGCTTATGAATATCGATTTTTTTCCAACATCACTCAAAACCATTCACATAATAGTCTAGTTTTATTTCAAGATTTCCTTAAAACTATATTTGATAACTTATCTAGTCATATTTGAAAATAACTTTCATCGGATAAACTTGACTATCTTTATTTCGATACAGAACGAATTAGGTATGTATCCATCTATGACATTATTGAGATGACCGTAGTTTGAAAGAGGAATTTGATATAGGTTTTAGTTTAAGTTTAAGATACAAAATGTTTTCAAATCTAACATCATGTGGGATTACTACTTATTAAAATTAGCATTTCAGCCAAGTTTAGAATATGAATAACTCTTTTCTTATTTATTCAAATATATAGATGAACAATATTACAGAACTTGTCGCCAAACAAAATATAGTATATGATAAACGTGTTCGTCGTTCATCTTCAGTCTTTACATAGAATTATTGACAAGCCATTCAGGTGATTCCCTTCTCCAACTAAAACCACTTGATTTAAGACTATTAATTCATTGTCTCAAATACTGTTTGCATGGTTCTCATATTTGCAATTGACTTCATATTCTATCATTTATTTTTTGCAGATTTCATTCTTTTGTGTACAAATTATTTTATCACACATTTTTATATCTATCTACATGTTAATTTTACGAGGATATACAATCCCTCTAGATGATTTGATAATTCAGTGGTGATTGTATTATCTCACGAATCTATATATGTATTGAAATTTCTCGCGAACTCTACTGAACACTTTTAAGTAGTAAGAGTAACTGTTTAAAATAAAAACACATGTGCTATTTCAGGTCCTACTATTTAAAATTAATACAATAATGAGCAAGAGAAAGGACAACAGCAGTGAAAAAATAAGAAGCTGAGGAATGACTGAACAGTTCTGAATAAACAAGCAACTGAGAAAGAGAACTCAATCGTTGTTAAAATTGTGAAGCAAAACTCAGTAGGTGATAATATTGAGATTTTGGGTATTGTAAGCTAAATCCTTTGGGATCTCAACTTTCTCTAATTTACGTGTTTTATGTGATTTATACGAATCCGTTTTCTGTAAATATTTTTAAATTGCTTAGAAAGGGATGATTAACGCTCCAGAATTTCCTGTTTTAACACAATAATGATGATAACTGCAACAGTATAAACATTTTCACGATAAATTATCCAGAAAAATACGTTGATCACATATTTATACCATTCTTTTTTGATACTACTCGCTTTACATAATTTAACGCAAACGAATTTCATTACGTATTCTTACAGCTATAGTTGAAAAGATGCTAATGATAAACGAACTCATAGAAGTACTTGTTTCTGGGTATAATGGTTCATTAGGCTTTCTGGTATGGTGTAACTAAGTGCAGCTTGACAAACAAAACTGGAGGAACGTTAAGTGTTCTTAAGTTAAAAAATCGTTAGTCAAATGTGACAAACTCTAAATGCAGATGAAAAAGATCAATGCGTCTGGGTGCTGGAAACGGTCCCAAAAAACACGTTATCTTAGATTTTCCGAGATAGTTTATGACTACCTTGTTTAGCCGAAATGAGATGCTTGGACCTCCTAACATCTTACAGATCGACAGCTACTAATTTAATGAAATGATGGTATGCCTTGATTTATTCACACGTGTTCTTTCAGCTTACAAACATCATAGCCAGTATACCAAATCGAAATAAGCAGTTGCTTGGCATACATATCACAGGAAACATTTTAAACACAGTTGTCGAACTTTGAGACAGGCTCAGAATTTCTTTTTCAACTGAAATATATTACACTGTAAAACCAGTAGTCTTATCGAAACAATACTGCCTTAACACTAACTAACACATCAAGTAGAAATGGTCGGACGAAAAGGTCATTTGATGACGATTAGAAATATCCTAAGGAACGAATGCATATCACTGGTCAAGAAATAGATACGTTTTCTAAGCAGAAAAAATATGTATATACCCCGACGGTGGCTGCTACCTAGAAGTGGTGGTCGAGCTTGCCTATCGTGATGATCCAACCGAGCTAAATTGGCTGGAACACATGTTCATTTAGGTTCTACCATACCAAGTAGGTCAATTGGAGAACGGTAAGACTAAAAGCAGCAACTCAAGGACTGAGTTGAAGTCGTAATGCTGACTGTAGGGAGGATGTTATAGCAGTAAGGATAACCAGAATTTGCAAGCAATGTTGGCTTCTCATGGTGTAGGGGTGGGTTAGAAGAAAGCTAGTTGCGGTTAGAGACTTTGAATGACATGGCTCAAAATCGTTTGCAATGGCGCAGGTGCATCCATTTTTTATCTTCTCTTAAAGTCTAATCTTTTGAATTCCTCATCAACTTCATCTTTCTCTTCCCAAATTTATTTCACTGGATTATACTCTTTAAACAACATTTTCAAACCCTAATCTTTCTGATTACTACTCATACTTCTATTACCTCCAGCACTATGGGATTTGAATCAACAATTGCATCTTTGTGCTATCGTGGCATGGCAAGTTGTACGTTGTTACTGACCTTAGGACTTTTTGAAAGAAAGATATTGTTAATGTTTTAAACTATGACAAACGTACAGTTGCTGAAAAACAGACCGACAAAGACCTGTTTAGTATTTACTATGTATAAGTGTTTTCATTCGTTTTTAAGAATCCAGTTGACAATGCTAAGTAAGAAACTTGGAAATAAATCCATTTTTCTATACTTGAAAGTAAATTGTTTCGTAGAGAAAAATGGAATGTAATTTTTTAATAATTCGTTAATGTCGTAAGAGCATGAAAGAACGTTAGTATAAATTTAAAAAGATAATAACATGGAATCAATTTTTCTCAGTGTTATAACAGAGATCACTCCCCAAGTTTCTGTACAATACAAGAAATTCTACCGTTTCACATACAATATAAGAAATAAGATTTGGAGAAATTTTCTATTACGCTGTTTATTTATATGGAATCACAACTCCTTTTAGAGTAGCTAGTTCACGAATTATTTGTAGAAGTGAGGTAGCTGTATTCTCAGTAGACATTGTAGTTGAACATGGGACATGAACGAAAACGACTCGATCAGGCGAATATTCTAGTGATCTACATTGGATAACAGAATAAAGTGATAGAACTAATAACGCACAGAACTAACTTGTAGTATATATAGCCACATAAAAATCTGCCTGGGTCATTTGAAGTTGCACAAGTAATATGATTATCCACTAGTTTACCATATGCTTTACTCAAGTTCATGCTACAATAAAGAACCGGTTCACCATGAATACTAGCACAACCATTATTTCGACAATAAGCTCCATCCACATCTGGTGTATCGTAACCACTATTATACGACAAGGTTTCCAAAGTAGGCATTGTCAGACTGGTATCCATACCAACATGTATCACTAAATCCTAATGGGAATTAATAAGTAAGACGGATAACTTCTAGAAAGCTATTTCAAACTGTTGGCATTCAAAACATCGACAGCTATGAACTAAAAATAATGTGAAGCATGAGAATTTACAATCAAGAGACATCAAGACAATTCACATAATATCTACAGGACGCAATAATCCAAAACATGAGAACATTATTTATTCTGGCAAAGTTATCGCTACTCTTAAAAAGAGTTAAATATCGCATGAGGTCGATAGGCTGAAAGACTGATAATTCTTATCTGAATTTCTAGTAAGTAACGCATCAAAGGATGTAATGTATGTTCACAATAGCATGAAGTACCATCCTAGGGTATATTGGATACTAATCAAGTTCACTGCCGACAGACATTTACATTACTGGCGCCAGAAGAATGAGCTAATTATTCTGAAAATAATTCTAACAACTCTTGTTCTTCACGAAAACTAAGTCATGCTGAGGTGTGACTATAATCAAAGTTATATCACGCCTCAGAATTTATAGGATTACTTGAATACAAAAATGTTTTCTAGGTACTTTGGATTCAAACCTTCATCGGCTGAGGTGGTTGAAACATTAAGTACGTATGCCCAGTTACTGGTTACTTCAACTTGCAATGCTGTTTAGAATGGATATCGGCGAGAAAAATGGTAGGTGTAGCCAAATAAGGATATTCGATTAACACCACTAGTAATCCCGACCGTAGCTGCTACCTTGAAGTGATGGTCGACTTGCCTATCGTGATGACTCAAACGAACTAAATTGGCTGGAACATATGTTCCATGTAGGTTCTACCATGCTGGCGGGTCGACTGGAAAACGGTGAGACTAAAATCAGCAACTCAAGGTCTGAGGGCGAAGTCGTACAGCTGATAGTAAGGTGTTCCCCTCTGACAACCAGCACCTGCAGCGATGCTACCTTCTCACAAAGAAGGAAGGGATTAGAAAAGGTCGACCATACAAATGTCACACCTCACCTTTCCGTTTCCGGCGGTAAGGCCATTTAAAGAGCGGAACAAACACTTGACAAACTTTCAAAAAAAAGGACGTGCGTGAGCGGCCTCAAGCAGTTATCCCTTGGACTATGTTGTCACGCTCACAGGTTGCTCAAACAAACGTTAACCCGATTTCCTTTCCAGGTTTCTCAAAAAGTACCCTTCCCCTCGGTAGGGGCAGCCGGGAAGTGACAACCGCCCTAATACCCGAAAAACACAAAAGACGTGGCTGTATAGACCACATATTCACACTAAAACATGTCCCAGAACATAAAGACAAGTTTAGACGTCCCACAATAGCAGTATTTCACGACTTTAAGGCGGCATTCGACTCTGCCGATCGTGAGGTTCATTGCCAGTATCTCATTGAAAGGTGTATCAGAGAAGTAAATCAACCATATACAGGCTCTCTACTCGAACACTACTGATCGAGTAAGAGCGTATGGCGAAATATCATCAGAATCGATTACTTCAAGTGGTGTTTGTCAGAGTTGTCTACTTTCTGCACTCTTAACTTTATCACTGACATGCTTTTAGATACGACGCTTTCATCATCTGACCTTTCAGGAGTTGAACTTTTACCAGAGGATTCGTTTGTTGACTTACAATATGCTGATGATATAGTTCTGTTTGGTAAAGACGCTGACAAAATGCAGTCTTCTGACCACCCTAAGCAACGCTCAAGCACGTTTGGGATGCGATTCTCCCCATCGAAATGCGAAATGTTGCTTCAAGACTGGGTTGCATCGGCACCTGAACTAATGATAGAGAGTGAAGTAGTTGAGCGTGTTGACCACGGAGTCTCATCAGTGCTGATGGCCTGGTGTCTAACGAAATCTCAACGCGGATGCAGAAGGCTCGATCGGCGTTTGCCAACTTGCGTCATTTATGGCGTAGGCGAGATATCCCTCCAACAACCAAAGGACGAGTCTACAGAGCATCGGTTCGCTCCGCCCTACTTTACAAGTGTGAAATGTAGCCACTCAGAGTAGAGGATATTTGTCGGTTACCAGTATTCGATCATCGATGTCTTTGAAGCACTGGACGTATATCCCGGAACAAACGAGTAAGCAACTGTGGTGTTAGGAAACGGGAACTAGACAAGGATGGTAGATCGATAGATGAAGTAGTGAAAATCCATCAGTTGAAGTGGCTGTGACATGTGCTACGTACGCCCAACCACCGTTGGAAGAAAGCTAGGGGCGGCCAAACCAAAACATGGCAGAAATCCATGAAGTGCCTGACGACTTCAATGAGCCATGTTCGTAGGTGTATACTGCCTGGTTGGGGTCCCCGAGACGATAGTAACCGATGGTTAGAGACCTTTGTGACATAACTCAAAACCGTTTACAACGGCGCAGATGCATTCGTTGTTTGTCTTCTCTCAAATTTTAATCTTCTGTATTCTTCATCAGATCTATCTTTCGCTTTTAAATTTATTTCACTAGATTATACTTCTTGAATTATATCTTTGGACCTTAATCTCTCCGATTACTGCTAATTCTTCTACTACTAAGGGATTGGGATCGACAGTTGCGTATAGAAACTTGAACTGTTGTACTATGTACGAAGTTTTATGTCGTAACTGACCGACTGACTAGTAATGCACTTCGATAAATTATCTTAACAGGGAATACTTTAAGAAACCAGACTAATACGCCTAATATATTTTTCAATTAGTTATGGAGATTAGTATTTTTACACACATGAAATCACCAATCAATCATTGTTAGACCACCATTAGAAACCTGGAAGTACTGGACGGCCGTTTCGTCCTGGTATGGGACTCATCGGCAGTGCGTCTCCGCGACTCCTGCATTTCACAGGATTCGAAACCGGGACCTTCGGTATTGTGCGCGAAAGCCTAACCATTGGACCACTGGGCCGGCATCCAACAGCATTAATGTCTAACTATGACTGATCTAGGGATTTAGCGCGACCCCACCCATTTGTCTTCGGTAGTTACTGCCTACACCCGACAGGGTTGAACTCCACTGGTCACGTCTTCTCACTAGAACTCCGAGAATTTCCTCACGAAGCTAGTCACCAGTGAGCACATTTTACGATATTTTTAATTAGAGTTATGGAGATTAGTGTTTTTAGACATATGAATATATTTTTACAACTGATCGATCGTCGAGTAGCAAACAGTATCAGGTATGTAAAATCCTTTAGGGCTGATCAAATTCTGTCAATGAAGTTGCGACTTGTCCACTTGCCAAAGTGACACGATATCGGATGCACTACATTAAAATGAAAGGAGGCTGGAAGTGGTCCACCACAACTCCAGACCTAGGATTCATGATATTTACCAACCGTTAGCATAGTTTCACCACTGTTAACGAGCAAATGAAAATCAAGGCATTGTTGCGAAGTAAAGGAAAAATATTTACACTAAGCTTGATACTGTTTGCATATCTAACGTAGCAATTATTTCAAGTATCCCTTCCTTATGAGTTAAGCTCTTTAAAACGACAGTTCTTCGTAATTTCGTAAAAACTACAATCAATACATGAAGATGTTCGTGGTGAGCCCACTGTCAAAAAGTAAATTTAGCGATAGTTGTATTTATCAAGAATGCGATGAAATAACTCTGTTATTCAACCATCAAACAGTCGACAGTGCTAATTAGAATTATGCTCTTTTGCTAGTAACTATAAACCAATATATTAAAAGACAAAATCAGAGGTTTGTGGTTCCCAACGACAAACCACATCAATGTCAAAATAGTCTTTATGTTCAAAAAGCACAGTGATTTGCCTAAAAAGTCGATATTAATTTTCCTACAGTTCTGTCTGACGATGTGCTAAGTACTAGAAAATATAACCGAAAGCACTGATGCTCTCTAAAAACGCAAAGTAGTAATAAGCATACCATGCTAATAACCCAGGATATATGAAGAAGCTTACGTATCTAATCTATCACTGATGCTTCTAGTTATCACACTTAAAAGTGATCATGTTAAAAACTGCACTATTTATTCATAGATAAGAAACTGTAGATAGAGAATAGGTTAAATTGGTTTTTCAAAATACAGTTGAGAATGGCAATTTATATCTTTAAAAAATTGCACAATCAATAAAACCACAAAGATCCGCTTAAATTAACCGTGTGAAGCATCAGCAAATGCAAATAAAAAAAAGGTATTTTACTTACAGGGTTTTCTTTCCAGAGAGAATTAACGCATTGGTCAACAGCTCTATATGTAACAGGAATATTCTCTATTGTGTGTAGTTTTATACCAGTACACACATCGGAGTATTTTTCGTCCCAAATTTGTCTCAAACGACTGACAGCTAACGAACTAGAATTGTTTTCGTAACCCCCAAAAAGCCCAAAACTAGTGACAATTATGTACATTCAAATTTGAAGCCTACATTAAAGGAACGAATTGTAAATAAATAAATTAGTGAACTAATGTTCAAGGGATTTTGTGCAAACACTAACTTTTATTTATCTGTCACTGCTCCATACAACATATCAAAACTTTATTATGCAGCGCGAGTTTACATCAGCTGTCACGAGGTTAAAATTTCCCCTATTTTGATTTTGAACTTTTATTGTACCCCACTAAACACGAGAAACTATAGTACTTTCTTATTTTTAAAACTAGATCACAGCGCTTTGCGAATTTCGAAACAAGTCAGACTATATAAAAGTAATGACGTCCAACAACAGTTTTTTGTTCTATATTCATATAAACGTCGTTTTCATTCATACCCTATCGAGTTTTCTGAGGCATATAAAAATGAAGCATTTAGATAATTTAGGAAAGGAACTGCCTGAAGGCGAATTCTAAAGCTCGTTGTAATGAATTTACCTTGAAACCATGAATTTATGAGTGACTAACTTTTAAGTGGGGCATAATCCAAACGGATCCATAAGTATGACCGCATATTAATGAACAATTGCAAATGGTAAAACAGCTATTGAAGCTAATAAAAGTTTACTACCCACAACATATTCATCGAAAAAATGAGGAAGTCTGTGTAGTGAAGTATTAGATACAATACAAATGTCCCGAAAACTACATTTGAATAAAAGAATGTAGGATTTAATTTGTCCTACAGATGTAGTTTTATAACTTTGAACGCAATATTGGCGAGCACAGAGTTTATGTGAAAACTATAGTCAAAACAAGACCGACTTGGCCTTAAACGTTATCTGTTTCTAAACATAAAAACAATTAGATTAGTACAATAATTAAGGAAATTACAGTTACCAAGTAAGACGAGAACACGTACCGACTGATATAGAGTGTCTTATGAAAATGAATAAAATTATGTGTCAGATCAATATAATAAGATAATAATGTCCTTCAACTAATAGGTCATTTACAACAAAGAAAGTTTACAGGCACGTCAGACCAGATCACGTGGTGAGAACTTAAACCACAATTTGATTGGTTAGTTATGGCATAACCACAATTAGTTATTGAAAATAACTAGTAAGAAAGCTTGGGGTATGTATCTATCAGTCAGGTACCAAAACCAGCTTTGAAGTAAATGAAAGACGTGATAAGACAACAAATCATTTAATAACCTTAAAGAAAATTCTTAGGAAAACAATAAGCAACACATAGCTTACATAAGGATCGTAACTAACATTCATTTAGATTTCCAGTCATCAACAAACCTCCCCAAACGGTAGCTGCTACCTTGACGTCGTGGTTGGGCTTGCCTATCGTGAAGACCCAACCGAGCTATACTGAAAGGAATATATATCCCTTTAGGTCTTACCATGCCACACAGGTCGATTGGAGAACGGCAAGACTAGAAGCAGCAACTCAAGGTTTGAGGGCGAAGTTGTAGTGCTAAGTGCAGCGAGGTGTGACAGCTGGGGGCTCCGCGGTAACGCTAAGACCGAAGCTACTTCAATTTCCTTTTTAGGCTCCTCAAGAAGTACACTCACACGGTGTGGGCAACCGGGCAGTGACGTCCGACCTCATACCCCACTATAAACAACATATTGGAGCTTTCAATGTTTGAACCTTGTGCCAAATACGACAACAGGCTTTCTTAGCTAAGACTCTACAATTTCGTGCCATCAAAATATGCTGAGACTCCCAAACGCACACACAGGATTCGAGCAAACTCAATCACTTTACCTCCCTTTATTCAGATTAAGAACCATTTCGATTCACGCTTTGTGCATCTGGAAGCCTTACCGCTGCTTTCCGTGAACTCGCTAGTGTAGGTATAGCAGTAAGTTCTAAAGCAGAAGTAGCTCTCTTAGACTGGATCCCAATAGACAGTCGTTTATGTGCTGTCGGACTAAACGAGACAGTAAGGGACACGGAAAGATAGGGACACTCACCGTTGCCTCTTCGTCGTATCTGCCTACACTCTCACTAACTGCAGCTCAGATGTGGTAAAATATGAGTTTTACAGGAAGCTTTCCAACCTCCTCCAGTGTTAAAGGCTCTGATGTAATATTGGTGGCGGGTGACTTTATTGCTCAAGTATGTAGAATAAGTGAAACTGGAAGATACCTGAGTTGATTTTATGGAGTCGCAACCCAAAGAACAGATAATGGCAACTGTCTGCTGTAAATATGCTCAAACAACTGACTATTTCTAGCAAACATTAACTGTAAGCACAAGGAAAAATATATTCTGACATTGTTACCCCCAAAACTGTCCCAACGCCGGACCCAAATAGATCACATCGCTATCAGCCACTGATGCAAAGGCTTGATAGAGTATTACCGCTTATTCTGTAGCACCTATTTAAATTCAGATCAACCTCTAGCACCAGTGCGTATTTGTCTGCGTCTTACTGGGCGTAGCAATAACACAGCAGGGAAACTCCTTAGAGTTCTACTTACGATAGCAAAGAAAAGAGTACATTTCAGGAGCAACTAGGAGAACAGTTAGACAGCTATCTAAGTGATGCCCGAACTGAGACAGCTTGGAACGATATCCAGAAAGCTGTGGAAGCAGCAGCGATACCTGCCGGTAAGGTAAACCATACGGTCGGGGAAGCTGTGTATTTCAGTAGCATCTACTGTACTGATAGATGCTCGCAAACTCATCCCATTTGGCTCCGAACATGATGAAGAGCTGAGCCAGCCTAAGTTCAGGAGCCTGCGCAGTGATCGCGAACAGTAGTAGGTAGCAAAGCAAGGGGGACGGAAAAAGCAGTAGTAGTAGACAACTCTTCAGAATTATCAAGGAAACTGGAATCCGAGTGTTAGTAAGACTATCACGGAGAAGAATGAGACTATCATTTATTCTCAATCCGAGATATCGGATCATCAGTACTGATGGTCTGCTGTCTAGCAAAATCTCAGCGCGGATACAGAAGGCTCGGTCGGCATTTGCCAACTTGCGTCATTTATTGTGTAGGATGGTAGATCGATTGATGAAGTACTGCACGTTCATCAGTTGAGTTGGTTGGATTATGTATTTCGGATGCCCAACGAGTGATTGCTTCGATGAGCAATGTTTTGTGGTGTGGAAGAAGGCTGGTGAAGTCTATTAACGGGAACATGATAAGACCACTAAAGTGTACATTACATTTAAAATGTCTATTTGTTTCTCATTCTTTTACATTTAGATGCTCAACATAAATGCAGTGACATGGTAGAGCTGCAGATACAGAAATAGAATCCGTTCACCCCATATAATGAACAATAAGTACACTTAGTGCAAATGGATGTATTTCATATATATTTACCATTTTTACCAGTAGCATAAACTTCATTTCATTTCTACCTACCTCTATATGTAACACAGTAATACAGTAGTCACCGAACAGCGGGTCCGATCTAAAATCGCAACACACAGAGTTAGCTCAACACTTCACACCAAGAGAGAGAACACGAAGTCGTCGCCGAGGCAATCTTTATTTTTATAAAATTAAACACGCGGGGTTTCCACAGAAATAGAATGGGCGGTGTGCCAAGGTCTTATGAGTCCTCCTGTAAGCTCAGAGCATTCAGGGCTTGTTCTTCTGCTTCCAAAGCGTTAGTGTTTGATCGCCCTGAAATAGAAAGAAAACAGGATGGGTTAGCAACATCTACATAGTGATTTTGACTCCGTCACACCACCCCCTCTCCTAATGAGGCACTGTCCTCAGTGCCCGGTCTCGGACAGAGATATGCTGCTCCCCCCTCAGGCGGTATCTCATAGAAACTAGTGGCAGGTGGTGGATCTGTGAACCGAGCATCAGCAGGTATTGTTGTGCGATCTGGCTTTATTTGGTTGTAGTGCACGTGTTGTGGAATACCGTGCTTCGCTTTTGTCTAGTTGTCGGCTGGCATACGCAATGACCCTCTCCTGGCCATCTCGGGCTACTTGTGACAGAACTGCTCCGATGGCTGAGGAACTAGCATACGTATCGAGTATGAACTCACCTCCGTCTGCTGAGGTGTCGGGAAAGGCTAATATAGGTGGTGAGGTTAGCCGTGCCTTCAGTGTATCAAATGCCTGTTGACACTCTCAGGTCCATAGGAATTTCCGTCCTTTATGTGTCAATCTGTGTAAAGGTGCTGCCAATGATGCAAAGTCACGAACAAAACGTCTGTAATAGGATGCGAGACCCAGGGAGCTGCGAACGTCATCAGGTGTTTTTGGTTGCGGCCAAGTAACAATGGCACCCGTCTTCTCGTTATCTGCGCTGACACCAACTGCGGTGATACTGTGTCCTAAGAATACTACTTCCTTCTGCAAGAGACGGCCTTTGGATGGTTTTACTTTTAGGTCATGTTGTCTAAGACGCTGCAGAATAGCTTTTAGGTTAGCATTGTTTTGTTCGGGTGTGCTACCGTATACCATGATATCATCTATGTAAATCATACATTTGTGGGGAGCTATATCTTGTAATACTGTTTGCATCAGTCTTTGAAAAGTAGCCGGATAATTCGTCAACCCAAAAGGCATTACCTGGAATTTATACAAACCATTTGGATGCTATAACTCCCTATCTAGAAACTGGAATATGTTAGACGTGTGTTTCTCACTACCTGTGGACAACCAGCAGGTGACAATCCAATTTCTGTCACGCCACCAGAAAGCTGGTGAGAATCCTATTGAGTACCTGGATTCCTTACAGCAAATTGCGGTCAAAGCATTTCCTGAGCTAGATGTCGCCGGACGAGACGAGTTGGTACGCTCTCGCTTCGTCGAAGGACTGGTGCACAACCCATTAAGAGAACACTTCGAACGCCACCGACAAATGCCATCGATTTGAACAAGATTGCTCTCCGATTTATTACGGCAGATAGACTGTCACGTCCATCAGAAGCCCAACAACATTTACTGATGACAGTGGAACAAACCATAGAACCGAGTCATGTAGATTGTCTTCCGAAAGCTACAGCGATCGCACGCATTCCCAGCCGGGCTGTTGGTCGTGGGGCCTCAAACTCGACTTGGAACAAACGACCACCGTATAACAATTACCGCAGTCGTCAAACGGGTTGTATGAATTGCATTTAACCAGTTTCTTTTGCGCGCGATGGCCTAAGTACAACCCTGAAGCAGAAACAAACAAACAGTTTCTATATCGAGATAGAGAAAACATTTTTTTACTCAGGTGGATAGTAGTGGTGACGTTTTGCTCCCTGATCGGGATGTTCGGGTTATGGAGCTTTTATTCTTCTAAATTACATCAGTCTAAACTTCGTGTATAAAATGAATTGGACAAACTTTAGGAAAGTTGAATCGACAACAACGAACTGATTATATCTCTCAAGGTCTTGTTCACCTCGATCGAGCCAAGCTTAGTGAAAGGGATGCTTTCCCTGCTCTTCACCAAGTATATAAATCACACAAAGTATACGAAACTTCAAAGTCCTCTAGAATTCATCATATGTTTAACAACAAAATCTGCTAAAAATCAAAAGGGACAATCATAAGATCTCAATATATAAGGGTTTATTGCAGAAGCACTAATGCAGAGACTAGAGACCTGGATTTTACTACTGATCAGGTCAAAAATGTTTATTTTTTATGTAGACTACACATTCGTCATCAATAGAAGGAACGAACTGGAGAACACCTGCTATCTAATCAGAAACATCTTTGATGACACAAGCTTCACAGTGAGAAGGATTGTAATTTCAGTCTGCTATTCCTGGATGTATTAATCATCAGAAATCACACGAAAACTAGAGACCTAAGTATTTTGGAAACTAATCCACTACAGTAGCAACAACCAGAGAACCCACAACACCAACTGCGCTCAAACTTTATTCAGGAGTACGAAAACACACAGCAGCGCACATAAAGAAAGATCAAACAAAGAAAAATACCTGATGACTATCCTACAAAAGAATGGCTATCCACTCAACTTCACTGAAAATGTTTCAACCCAAACCATCAGCAGAAGTGAAGTCAAGTAAAGAAACCAACAAAGGATTATCCAAACATATGTAAAAAGACATCGGAAATTTCGGAAAGATCTCTGAAGTCATTTAAGATAGGTGTAACACAAAAATCAACATGATCACTACACTCAATCCTATGCAAACCAGAGGAAAAAAATGACAAATTAAGAAAAACCAAACATCATCTAAAAAGTAAACTGTTCAGACAGAGATAAACAATATGTCGGACAAAGTGGCCGAACTCTTCAGCTTCCTCTGCGTGGGGTTGGCGACCCTATCCCATAGAAAACTAATTGGCAAAAAAACGCTAACCGGAAAACATTATTCGAACCATTTTAACTGTGCCCTGAGAGTTAGAAAGTCTTTACTCAGAAGTGTTAGAAGGTCTCATGATGAAAGTCCAGTTTCTTTGGATGTCACTAGGTCTATGCCCCTTCTCACAACCAGAGCAACCATTCTTTTAGGCACGAGGAACTTTCGAAAAATGTGGGAGACCGGAAAACTGTTTCAAAATACTGCAGAGATGAGCAGATGGAACACGGGGGTCCTTGGAATCAGTGGACCGGACACAGGTTGGACAACTGAGAATAGCTTCAGGAGATCTGCTGTTATACTCCGGCCATGAAGAAATACTTGACATACACAAGGAGTTGCACTGATGCGGTCCAAACAAGCACAAAAGGCACTGATGGGGTGGGAATCCCATGGATTTAAGATCATTTGAGAATCTTTCAAAACAAAGAAACGGGACATTATGATGAACGTCATCCAATGCTATGCACCTGCTGAGGACTACAATGGTGACGTAAAAGATGAATTCTACAAGAGGCTGCAGTCAATCGTCGACAGATACTTATCAGAGGATTTGGCCATTCTGATGGGAGACCTAAATTACAAGGTTGACATGAACTACACTGAGTGGAGTGGGAGAAAGAAGCGAAAGAGAGAGATTTGCAAACCTATGTGCCTCCATTAGACTCTTCATAGGCGGCACCATATTCCAATAGGGGCACTTACACAAACCTACATGAATTTCGCCGGATCACATACTTACTTACTTACTTACTGACTTACGCCTGTTACCCACAATGGAGCATAGGCCGCCCACCAGTTTTCTCCAACCAACTCTGTCCTGTGCTTCCTCCTCCACTTCTGTCCAATGTTTGTTCATTCTTCTGATTGATTGCAAATTCTTGAAATTAGGAGATTGATTTTAGGTTGAAATAATAAATAAACTTAAGAAATTGTGAATTTTCACCGATCGACGGGGTTGAGATGTGTATTGGACATCTTAACTACTGATCACTTGGTCTTATCTCATTGTATTCTTAGTGTTTAAACTTCTATCCACATACTGCTGTTATTTCGACTTCATTACTTTCCGTCTTAATAAGTTTTGAAACTGGATCCCTGTTAATTTCTAGATGTAATCAATTAAGATTATTCTAATGTAAACGGGATCTGCTGCAAACTTGACAGATCTAGAGTCTGACACAGAACTCAACTTATTGTCTTCACCTCTATAGAAAACAGGAAGAAGTCATGAGTGTAGTAAACGCTGGATAAACATAAAATCCAAACAACACTAGCAGCAACAACCATCATGACTTCGGGATACAAAACGAAATTACTTACTACTTACTTACTGACTTACGCCTGTTACCCACAATGGAGCATAGGCTGCCCACCAGTTTTCTCCAACCAACTCTGTCCTGTGCTTCCTCCTCCACTTCTGTCCAATGTTTGTTCATTCTTCTCATATCTTTCTCTACTTCTCGGCGTAGTGTGTTCCTTGGCCTTCCTCTTTTCCTTTTGCCTTGAGGGTTCCATGTGAGGGCGTGTCTTGTGACGCAGTTCGGTGATTTCCGCAATGTGTGTCCTATCCACTTCCACCGCTTCTTCCTCGTTTCCTCCTCCACTGGAATCTGGTTTGTTCTCTCACACAGTACGTTGTTGCTGATGGTGTCTGGCCAACTAATACGAAGTATTTTGTGTAGACAACTGTTAATAAACACTTGTATCTTCTGGATGATGGCTTTCGTATTTCTCCAGGTTTCCGCTCCATACAGTAGAACTGTCCTCACATTTGTATTGGAAATCCTGATTTTGGTTTTGTTTGAAAGTTGTTTGGAGTTCCAGATATTTTTCAACTGTAGAAATGCAGCCCTCGCTTTGCCAATCCGCGCCTTCACATCTGCGTCCGATCCACCTTTCTCGTCGATGATGTTGCCAAGATATGTAAAGGTGTTAACGTCCTCCAAGGCATCTCCATCAAGAGTGATTTGGTTGGTGCATGTTGTGTTGCATCGGAGAATTTTGCTTTTTCCTTTATGTATGTTGAGACCTACTGCTGCAGAGGCTGCTGCTACACTGGTCGTCTTCTCTTGCATTTCTTGTTGCGTGTGAGATAGAAGAGCTAGGTCATCTGCGAAGTCCAG